GTACCTCGTTCACATAACTATAATCGTAACTTCGTTATTATAATTGCCCCTGCTTGCAGAAAACCTTTGTCAAATGAAATAATTACACATCTGATAATATTGTTAATATTGTATAAATTGCAGGTATGTAGATCGTTCGTAATTAATTTTGAACACGGATGGTTATAATACATAAAATTTTACGCTTTTCGAATTATTTATATAACTCCTCGTGCGTTTTTTATTTCATTTATGGTTGAACGTTCGTTAACAATATTATATTTTTACGGTTTTCAAGACGTACGCTGCTGCATATCTTCGCATAATTTTGTTTTGATTTTAGTGCGTTCAATATCATATTTTATTTATGAGTAAAAAAAAAATAAAGTTTTCTCGGATTCGAAAAAAAAAGAGTACTAGGTGGCCATTACAGGACTAATATTAAAAATCAAATTATGCCAAGTAATGAGTATAGGCTGTAATTTGATATCATTCATAATAACTGAAAAATACATTTTTTTTTATTTTTTTCCAATTTTCTTTGTTTTATAAAATAAAAAAAATCGATTTGCTCATAAGTTATAACCAACTATTAAATCATCAGAAATTCGATAACTCCCATAGTTGTTGTAAATTAATTTCATATTTTAGATTCTGAGTGTAGCGAAAAATATATTGGTTTTACGAAGATGTTTATTTTTTTTATTTTTTTTTTATGCGGACACTTTTTCTATCAGAAAGCTTACTCCGATGTATACGATGTAAACCCTTTTCTGAAAGGAAATTTTCTTGAGATTGTTAAGGACGTCGTTTTTCGTTTTACTCAGGAGTTTTCTCATCAAATGTGAAAAACCGAAAAAAAACGAAGGAAAAACGGGAATTTAGTACAATATTAAACAAATATTATTAAAGAAAATATATAATTCTTATTTAATTATTTTACGCTAATATGACGTATATATTGTTGACATGGCATCACTATCAACTGAACAACGTTCAGAATTACTTTCAGTTAGCAATGGTTTATCGTTGTATACAGATCAAAATTAATTTCCCCTCTATATCCTATCTTTCCGACTTCTCACTAACAACAGTGGCCGCATCCATCGTGCGAAGTATGTCAGTCTCTTTTCAATTATATTTTATGAACAGATTATTTAAAAAACAATATTATGATTGATTATACATACTGCAGTTACTTTTAAACGTTCGTTTTATAATTCGTAGAAATAAATATTGATAATATTTTATTGCAAAACTTTCAATATTAACGGTTTCAGTTTTAATATTGAAAACAGCATTTAATTTTGAAAACGAATGATGAAGTTTTTTGATTTGGGTTTGAGTTTTGAAAACTAATTTGAAATTGTTCGGTTAGGTCTAGTTGGTTTACATTTCAATGTATGAATTTCATCTTAAAACACCTACAGGACTCTCGAATAAAACTAGGAGGATGAAGTACGAATTGAGTATCGGTAAAGAGCTTAAGTTTTAGGTTTTAGTTATTAATTTTTTTTTTTTTTTTTTCATAAAAAAAATATTAAATATGGGTCAAAACTAAAATTTTAACAAGATAAAAAAAAATACACATTATTACAATTTCTATGTATGTTTATCCCTAAAATAAATACAAATTGTTGAGATGATAAAACGAATAACGATAATATTACCTTTCCATTTGAAGTTTGAAAGTATACATTTACATCAAAGTATCAAATACTCCAGGACTTTTCCGACTTTGTACTGATAAGTCATACAAACGCTCGTAGTACAATAATGCTTCGATTGAAGTACTTACGTAATTTGCAGTAGTATTTACAACACGGTGGCCGGCTTTCGTATTTCTGCTCCTTTGATGGTGTTTAAGAATGATATCGTCACCTGGGACGAGCACCGTCCCCAGCCGTCAACTCTGAGGTTTTCGAGGCCTCTGACATAGTAACTGTTTTTTCTTTTATTTTTTGTTCTAATTAAGGTATTTTAAGGTAAATTATAACCTGTATTTTTTTACTGCTGCCAGATGCACTAGTCAGCGACTGCTTATTCATTCAATCCCAATTGAAGGAGCCAAGGACATGTTTTATTTCACGGTTACCCTGCATATCTGCAGGTTAATCTCTTATCCGCAATCGTGAGGACGCGCCCGATGGAATGTGCAATGGACACAGGTTACAATTAAGTTCTACAAGCCAGTTCGGCTTTATTTTGGACCTTAGGTGGCAATCAAGACGCCTGCAGTCTGTTGAAGAACTGTGCTTTCACTATCCGAAACATCAAACACAAAAAAATTTACAAAAGAAACGTCGTTGATCGTATAATATATACTTTTGTGTTGATTGACATTACAGTTTTATTTTCAACATTTGGACGGTGGGGTCATGTAGCTTTTTGGCTTGGCATCAGCTCGTTGGTAATCTCTGTGCATGCGGGACTGTAGTAGGTAAAAATAATGAACAGGTCGGGGTGGCCATATATGCGTACGTACGTAAAAGCGTCTTTGGTATATTCATGAAGATATCTCGGGCTATTTACTATAGAAGAAGGGTGGATAATTCTTTGTCCTAAATCGTTTTTAAGTTCGATATTATTAATAATGTTACTGCAGTTTCTCGAAACAATAATTGAAATAACATCGAGTAATCAGAAAGTATCGAAACATATCAATTCTACGCCACTGCAGTTGCTTTTTTTTTTTAAACTTAATATTAAGGCTTCAATTACAAAGGTTATTGCTGCTATATTAAAAAAAAATGTAAAACTATTGGCTGTGTTATGTTGATTGAGGTCTTCTTTTGGTGATGTTGGATTGTTGAGGAGATGACGCGAAGTTGAGTATTTGGAGCAGTGAATGATTAGGTGTGCAATTGTAAGCGGAGTTATAATTAATATGCCGTACAGAGGTTTGAGTTCCTTGGTTACCGAATAGGAGTGAGTTATTAAAATCTAAATATAATGTTTGTTTTAACCCAATAAAGTGTAATACTTTAAAAGTCTATTTTTTAAAATGTGTTTCTGATCCGAATAATATATGTAGGCCACAGTGTGTTAAACTTGAAAATATGAAGGAATTAAAATACTTCGGTCTAATTTTTGACTATAGACTTAAGTGAGATAGTTATATTAATTATATAAGTAATAATTCACGTAAATTCTTTCTTATTTTTAAAGAAGTTAATATATATTTAATGACTCATACAAAAGAATTATTTGTCTATCTTTGGTACAATCTGTTCATACTTATGATACCTCAATATGGGGAGGTTAAGTTAGGTTAGGTTAGGTTAGGTTGGTTAAGTATGGTTGTTGAAAGTTCAACCATCTAACTAGATTAATAATAACTATAAACTGCATCACTGTTAACATTTTTACTCAATTTGCTAATTTGCTAAAATAAAAATACATCTCAAAATGTATACTAAATAATGACGTTTAACGTTATTTCAACATACGAATGGAATATAACTAATAGATATAATTTCAAGGGGTAATTTATGCTCCGTCTTGCCCCCACCATATGAGTGGTGTTAATTTCAAATGTCTTACCACCCCCTCCCCCCCTATAACTGATATTATAAGTATTTCGATGACATGCCGCTTTAGAATATTATAATGACAGTCCGCAAACGTCGCGCATATTTTCATACACACACTTACATAATAATGACGTTAGTCGTGTTACCTAACTGTACATATTCGTTTACCTGTCTGTAATAATTATAATAGGTATAAATATTATTGTCGTCGTTCAAGACGTATATTATAAAAAGATAATAATAATACCCGACGATACCTAACCTAATAATATTGTTATTACCTGTGTATTTATTGTATTATTATTATAACGCACACTATGTATATGTATCCACCTCGAGCCGTAGAAAATACACCCTATACAGAGTGATCCGTTTATCGCGAACCGACGATTTTCCCGGAGAATTTTAACTTTTACGTTTTTCAATCGTTATGCGGAATCGTTTATTTCATCAAATAAAATATTAGATTTAACATATTTTGGTGTTGCAGTTTTAAATTTCCGTCAACCTGTTGACCAGATATTCTATTATTAAATTAGACCAGGGAGCACTAGTGCAACACTATTTAAACATCGTATACGCTTGCCGTTACATAATAATGATGTTCCACTATTCTCCCCCTGTCGAAAATTAAATTTTATTGCAATTTTGTTCAATTTACTCATTTACACCACTATTTTAGCTATAGTCAACACTCGACAATCGTATAGATAAGTTTATACTATAATATTGCCAGCCATAAAATCTAATAATGGTATCATGTTTTTATTTTGATAATTCCAAGTTGGGTGGTATTCAATACAATACAAAAATAATTTGTGACTGCAATGAAATGTGAATTGACTGCTATAATCTGTTCTTCAGTCACTCGGTGAATTTTGAGTGATCATATTCTATCATTGTTTTGTAAATACGCCGAAAATTAAGCCAACTATTTTCATTTTTGTCCAAAAAATTGTTCGTTTTTAGTGCAATTTTTAATATTTTTGTACAATTCTCAGTATTTTTTAGTGCGCTACTGCAATCAATTTCAATAGTTTTGTACTATTACAATATCCGTGCTCTAGTTATAATATTTAATTATTATTATAGTTAACACTGCTTAAAACGATGTTCCTTTTTAATATTTCACGGTGACATCATTGATGTCACCGCCGCCGATGCCATCGCAGATGAATAATTAAGGAACGCGTGGTATAATATCGTCGTCGTCGAAATCGTTATCGTTAACGGTGAGATAAGATAATAATATTATTTAGACGATATAATTATAATAACGTTATACGACTGTGTTATTATTGTTATTCGCTCGGACACGCGGGATTTTTTACCTATTGTTCCAATAGGTAGCGCTCCGCGGCCTCCGCGGCCGAGACACGGTCGTCAATCATCCGTCGCGTACAATCCCTCTCCCCGTACCCTCTATGCGATCGCCGCCGCCGGTTTGCCAAAACAATAATAAACATCACGGTGCGGCGCGGTGCGTTCAGTTCACAACGTGCGCTCGTTTCGTCCGCTCTTGCTCCGCGTCTGTCCGTCCGTTTGCGCCGTTTCGCGCGTCGCGTTTCTAACGGTTTTATGTTATCGTTTTCGTACGCCATCGTCTCATCGTTGTCGTTATAATCGATAATTGCTATTTTTGTCGACCGATCTCCAGCAGCTGCTGCCGAACAAAACGGAAAGTTTTCGTTTTTTTTTTTTTTTTTTTTATCGCGAATATTCCATCGTCATCGTTATCACACAGGTACGTCGTATTTACGTTATTCCGGTTCGTCCTTTTTATTTTTAGACTCGGAAATTATATCGACAACAATTATATTATACGATATCGTGTTTATCGTTCGCAATACTGTTATAATAATATACCTAATGTAATATTATTGGCAAGGCGTCGTCGAGGGTATTTCGGCGTACAAATTATGTTCGGTAATCACGGAAATCTTTGGTAATATTACGGGAAAACTTATAGAAAATCTAGGTAATCCGGAATCTGGCGTGCACAGTATTGATCGGTGATTTACCGTCTGTGACGTCGCACGCGTGTTTTATCGTTTCATTCCTGTAGGGAAATTTTTACGTTCAGCGTGGTCAATTTTGGGCCGTTGGCCCCTCAGATATCGTCGCGATATCAATAATTGATTAAACTCGAAGTCGAGAATATTATATTTTCTACGTTTATTTCTCTTCCGCTCCTCCCCCCCCCGTTCAAATTTTTACACGAGCGAGCGAATTATCACAAAATTCTTCACTCTTCATCTCGCTTGAAAATATTGGAAATAGGTAACGCTCGCGCGCTCTTGTCCACTATACATTCCATCAATACAGAAATAGTTTCTCAATATAGTTCCTCTTTCGGGGAGAATAATAAGCCGATTAATTAATATACAATGGCCACCCTCCGTTCGCGTGTTGTAGTTGTCCCGAATTAAGGTACCAATTGTTATTATTGTCGGATAAGACTCATGACGAACGAAAAACGGTATACCGCCGGAGAGTAAATTACTACAATCACTGTATAATCGGGGATATCTATGGTAATCTCGATAATCATTGAGAAAATCGCGGTATTCCGGAATCCGGACGTGTACACAATGCGAATCGCCGACTCAGCCTCTGGATTCAGCTGAATATTATAGAAGTCTAGTATCGATTTTTTTTTTTTGAAATATCGAATTGATCCCTTCCGTAATCAGTATATCGGTTTTTACTTTACAAAACTCCCCTCCCTCCATTAAAAGTATTAAAACCGATTAAAATGCACTTTGCCACGCTAAATTTTTTTTTGTGTATTTCAACGCTGATTCTTAAACTGTTTGAATTTTTTTGCTGAAACCATTGTTAAAGAAGTCATGACAAAAAAAATTTCAATGATGTGTTTTTTGACGCTGAAGATGATGGCGCAATCGAAATCTTTTATTTATACATATTTTACAAGTTATATCGATATAAAGTGTGTCGTTTTTATGATTTTCCAAGTTCATTATAATAGTATACGGACTATTATATATTATTATAGTCTCGTTTTTTTTTTTAACTTTTTCCCCTCCGTTATGTACCCGACGCGGTTTTGTACAACAATAATCGAGTGTTATTTTCCGTGTAAAACAGTCCGAATGAGCGTAGCGTGCGAGTGAAAAAAAAAAATTCGTGAAGGAGCGTTGTAAAGTGCATTTGTTCCTTAAAATCCAAGTCGGACTTATAATGAATTCGTTTTAGATAGTAGACAATATAGAGGTATCTAACATAAGTCGGAAAACCCGTCTAGTGCTGTGATATAGTTACTGGACTTGTGTAGGTTATAGTTCTGCTGCAGGACTCTACGCGGGGTACCCAAGAGAAAGAAACTTTTTTCGTCAGTCTCCCGACGAGTTCGTAGCGTTTTGTAATATTTTAATTGCGGACGTTTTCTTTTATCTGAATTATTATTAGTTATTATTATTGTATTAATTTGTGCGTGTTAAATTCGAATATAAATGGCACACGCTCGAAATAGGTAGTACGTATATCGACTAAGTAAAAATTAAAAAAACGAAGTGGTTCGTTTCCCACCGTAAATAATTTAATAATTATGTTTATGCGTTTAGAAAAAAAAAAAACAAAACGAAGAAAGTTCGAATTATAATTTAATATGTGGCACGTGGGCAAATCGTATGCCTACATTATAAGTGGCCTAGTGGGTCGCGAGTGTTTCATATTACCTATGCATATTTTTTTTATTACCTATTATAGATTTGAATTGCAATAATGCAATGATTGGCAAATTTGTTTTCGCGTGGGTACCTATTTAGTCAAGTTATCGATTTGTGTATCGATACTTTACTTTCCGGTTTTATAAAAAACAAAAAAACAAAATTCTACAGGCATGCAACTACGTTCGGTTTAATGACAGAATATAAATATTGTTATTGACTCGTTTTTATATCTTCGACGTATTGGATTCTATAAATACGTCCTATCCTACGGTATTTAAAATGATTTGTATTTTTTCGGCGGCGATTTCAATCGTATCTAAAATTGGTAGAGATTTATCTATGGGTTTAAAAGTAAAACTAAATTACGTTTTCCCCACCCGATATTCCTTATCGGTTTAAACTCGCCGTATCGTTTCGTTGGTGCGTCGTTAATGTATTAGAACACGGTAACGATTGGTAAACGCATGGATACCGAGTGGCGGTGTATAACGTTGTGCATTTCTGACGATTTGAACGAAATACGTACTAGACGCGCGCAATTAACCGTCTATTAATAATAACGCATATAAAACGACTAAACGACCGGATAAATATCTTCCCAATAAGGTTATTACTGAACAATTTTTAAAAAGATTAGTTACGTCTTTATATCATTTTTATTCGTGTTCAATAACCCCGTAATATATTCGACATAAAGTTCCGTAATCTGTGAACTTTGTACCGTGTGAGACTTTTCGACCGAGTGTACGCCAGTAACAGGCAGTTCAATAAACTAAAAGTGTTTTTTTTTTTTAAAGAAACTTTAGAATAATCACAATTCGAGTTTCCCGTAATGCGGATAAACTTCGTACCTACCTACGCTACAATAATATAGTATAGATCAGCGGTTCTCAAACTGTTGTACGCGTACCACTGATGGTACGTGGTAGGTAACAGCATGGTAACAGTACAGAAAAATAAATTAATCAATACAAGTGTTTTTTAATGGATTTGATACTATGATTTACATTATTATTATATTGAAGTATATTACTGTCTTAAACCGTTATCGTTTTGAAATATATGCAAAAACGTTATGAATAGTTCAATTTTTTTTGGATCTGTCACGTACCACGTGATAGATCCATAATAGATATAAGTGGTACGGGGAATTAAAAGTTTGAGAACCTCTGGTATAGATAATAAAATAATTTATTTTTGCAGTTATGGTAATTTTTTTTTCAATAGCAGATTTGAACGTTGTTTTCCGAATAACTATTGATTTTTTTCATTATCCAAGTACGAATTCCTAGCGGTACGTTTGCGATTGTTTTCAAGATCGTCGGCGCAGACGAGTCTGCGGGTATTGGTCTGAAATAAATTGTTGAATGATGAATATTTTTTCGGTATCGCGGCGAAAACGAGCGTGTATCGTAATGACCGTAATAATAGTGGAAAAAAATAATGAAAATACACACGTCAGCCGTACAAGAAAAATAATAAATTTAAAAAAATAAAAACCACGCACAAAACTTACTCTTGTAGTGTTTGAACGTTGTGTACATACTATTATTATTATTTTACACGATATTACCGCCGCGTGTGTGTGTTGTTGCGGTGTTTGTATTTTTCGTTAACGTTTTCTCCGCGGTTATTCGTGTTTGTTATTATAAATATTCGAGAAGAATAAAAAAAAAAATTATTCTTTACGCGGTATACAATGGGTGGTGCGTGTTGGTTTTCGTTTAAACAATTTCTTTTACTCTCTTATCAAAATTAAAAAAAAAACGTCTTATTAATTTTTTTTTATAATGGTATATATAATATATCCACCGGTGTATAATATACGTCTTCTATTCTATTATGTTATTATACTTTTAAAAAGACGAACGTATTATAATATCGTACACACTACCCGGTTTGCGCTGCGGCGGTCGTCGCCGAGAGTACCTAACGTATAAAACGAGAGGGACGTCGCGCGTTGTAATAACCTGACCGCGTATACAGGGCGATTCCATTGACGATCTACGGTCGGATTTCGGGGGTATAGGTTTTTATCCCGTTCGTTCGACGATACCGATAGAATCGCCGTTTAACGATCGTATGTTGAGAAATGTTTTCCAAATCGGCGATACGGTCGGGTTATCGACACGCCTATACCTACTGACTTACCTATATGGATTGCCGTTCGCGAATCGAAAGTCGACCAGCGGGGTATGGTGAGTGTACGCCATGTACGGGGAATAATGGTCGGAAAAAAAAAAACTATAAAGAAACGATATTATCGTCGTCGAGAGTTTAATACTATAACAACACTAGTTCAAACGTCGCGGACGTAATGTTATATACGAAGAGAAGGGAATATTTTCCCGGGCGTTAACGTCGCTGTTTTTTTCGAAAATATTATCACGGCTATAACGGTAGGTATTTGGGTAAAAACCAAACGTAAACTCCGTTTGTCGAACCGGGACGGTAAAACGCGCGGGGATACTCGTATGTATTTTGTTATTAGTCTTCCTCGACGATTTAGATTCACCTCTCCCACCATCCACCCGATAGCGAATTCACCGACGTAATATTTTCTCCGTACCCGCGTGTAGATTATTATTATCGCCGCCGCGCGATGAAATGTAATCACCCTGTACAAAACGGTCTCTTTTGTGTCCGACGCCCGGTTTACAATGTACTGTGTATACCTACTGTACGGGCCGTACGGCTACGCGCGCAGACGATTCCCTACCATCTGCCCCTCTCACTTTTCAACCACTCGGCGGGTGGGTAGGCGTACGCTACACGATGAGCCGAACGGACGCGGCCGGTATTTGTGACGTGCAGCTGTTTTTGGCGCGTAAATTCACCTCGTCTACCGAAGAAAAAATAACAATATAACCAGAAAAAAAAAAACGTGCCAATTTCTTTTGTGCCTTTCTCCAAACCCCTTTGTCGTCGACCCGACTTCCCTCCGCTTATAATAATCGGAAAAGAGGTCAACGGCTTTTCGCGTTTTAAACGGTAGTTATCGGTCGCAGGGGTTCGGACCGTTAAAACAATACATGAGTTTAAAACGGTTAACAACCTCTGGGACGTTGGTTTATTTACAATCGTTTCGAGCGTATTAATTTTTTATTTTTTTAATCGTTTCAATTCGGTTTTCAATCAAATTGATTTCCTTATTTTAAAACAGATAACGCGATATTTAAAAAACACCTAGAGCGAGGTTACAATTTATTAATAAGTGATGATCGTTAGCAAAAGTGGCGATATTGGCGATGTTTAATTTTTTTATTAAATAGGGTACCGTTTGATTAAAAAAAAAAAATAAATAATATTGTAAATAAATAAAACAATTGTATTAATCGTATTTATAATTCCATAAGTAGTAACATAGACGAGAAACGATTTGGATCATATTATTATAGCAGATAATACGACCGGGAAAAAAAAACTAAATTTGGTACGTGACACTGTTGCGCCTAGTCACGGGGATTTTTTTTTAACATTGCGCGTGGCGTCATGGATCCATTCGCCGTTTGTGTCTTAACGAGCAACAATCCCGCAGCTGCTAAAGAACTTAATTTTTTCCAAACGACCAAATCAAATGTGTTACGGAGTACCCCGTAATATATATAATGTATTCGTACGACTGTGTTACATTTCGGTTCAACATTTTAATACAAAATGACAAACGCGTTGTAATATTATACGAAAACGTATTATTACGAATTTACGCATTCTCTTTCCGGGTATCCGCCAACTATACCTGCGTGCGCGTGTGACTGTTGTGATGGTGGACGTGAGAAACCGTGATGTTTATTTATGTTTATGAATAGTTGCCCGATGTTCCTCCGGAAGACTATGCGTGTGAAAATACAATTTAATATTGGAGACTTTCAATCGAATTGTGTAACTGTATTGTATTATAGTAGATTACATTTTACGATCTATTTATTAAAACAATATTAAATTTGCTCTTAAAATTATTTGAATTTTATGTCAGCGTACCTGTTATCGCGTTACCAACCCCGTGTTATGAAATATCGACGGTCGCATTGATGGCCATACTGTAATCGAGTGGCGTACGAGTCGCCATTTTAATGCGCACGCACTTTGCGTTGAAAGGAGACGGCGTTACGCACAAACAAGTCATGTGAAAGAGAGGTCCAATTAATTAGCCACTTTGCGCTCATCTCCATCATTATATAATAGATAATATTATACGTACGCCATAATATTGTACGTTTTCTTTTGTTATTTAAAGAGGATATAATATTGTATTACGATTTCGTCCGTTGGCATCAATTTATATACACGAATTACATGTCAACAATTTCGGTTGGATCCAATGTTGGTTCAACATTTTATGGTCGAAGGGACATTAAAAATATTATAATAATTAGACGTGTTGGAGTTTTTTTTTTCTTGCATATTCTTGTAGATTATAGTTAGAACGCGGATTTATACTCACTTAAAATAGCCAAAATATTATGCTTATAATATTATCTTAACACTAACACAAATTTAATAAATATAATATTTTTAATGTTAAATGTGTAAACGAAATAAGTCAAATAATACACACATTAAAATAATAAATTAATTAACAATCTTTTGTTAAAATAAATTAGTATTCATCCTTTCAATTGTATCACCTTAATGACAGTGCAGTAGTTTTTAGTACAGATCAAAAAAATAGGAACTTCATTAACCAGCCTTATGGTTTACCTTGAATATATAAAATCTTAAATATTAAAAACTGGACAATCACATAATTTATATATTACGCTTGAAACAATTTATCATAATGTATTGTTCAGTATTTTCAAGAGTCATGTGAGGTCTCATATAGTGCCATTGAAAACTATTGTATGACATACCCAACAATAAATTATTATAAAATAGAAAAAACCTACCGCAGCGGTCGAAATGTACATAATTTTTTTAATTCCTAGAAATATTTCATTTCATATATTTTTAATTAGTCAAATATACAAAAATATGATTTTATATGAATATATTCTCTTAACATCGAAATATGCATTTTTATGCAGAATACAATTTTGTATTCAGATTCGTTGTACTGTGAATCGTTGGCATATCTATTCTCGTGTGTGTGCTGTACATCCATTAAAAATATGTTTTTACATAGAAATCCGCGCTGTAATTATAATAATTGACATTCAAAAATGAAAAAAATGTTGTTCGTTAATGTTTTCATAAACCCACGATAAAATGGGATACGTCATCAGTAATGGTATACATATTACACATAGGAATAATTCAACTTAATATTATTAGAACTTGTACTTATACCCCTTTGCTACCAGACACTGTACAATTAGATCTTGTTGGTAAATCACGCATTACAATAACATACACACTGTTACTACTAGCAATATTGTTATAACTATAATGATATTTATAAACTTTAATAAAACGGTTAGATTATATTATTATTATCAAGAAAAATAAACATCATCCATACAAAATAAATTAAATTAAAAATGAATTAATTTATGTCAATTGCCGGTGGATGGTAAATTCGGAATAATACGTTTTCGTTTAGTATTTAGTATTTAAACATAACGTAAATGCCAATTTTTACTGAAATATTGAACCGAAATGCGATATGATTTGATAAAAGTTTTTATAATGAGAACAAATTTGGAAGAAATTGAGGTCTCTAACGATTTTTTTGAGTTGGATGGTTCTTTAAGAATTCTTGATTCATAATAACGGCATTTATATATTTTTAATATTTTAAAAACTATATAATAATATTATATTGTTTTAAACTTTTTTAAAAAAAAACACATTTTTTACCTAAAGGCGGACGTGCGGTGACCGTAGAGTGTACGTACTTATCTGTTGATGTTTTATTTAATTAACCTTAATTGGTAAATACCAGTCGAATTGATTTATCGCCATTGATTACTTATATATATATATATATATATGTATATTATATTTATAATATTACGGATATTATAGGTAGATAGTAATGTGTATAAAGAGACTGGAAGTACATCGATAAAAAAAAAAAATATATACGCATAAATAAGTAATAATAATGTAATAAAGAAAAAAATATGATAATTCTCTAACGAGATTCGTATTGGTTTAATATTAATTATTATAATCTTGGACCTATGTACCTATTCTATATACGAAAAGAAGATTTGTATGACTTTATAAAACGATCTATTCGTTTTCAACGCGTGCAATCACTAAAATATTTCTGTATTTGTTATTTTCTTATGTGTAGGTAAATAATTATTTTATTGTTAAAAAAAAAAAAATGTGCTAATACAATTTAGGCAATCACACCTGTAAGGAGCATCTGACCTATAAAATTAAAAGAAAAAAAAGAATACAGAAATACTATCTAGATATGTTTTCGGATTTTTTTTTTTTTTAAATCCTAAAACGAATTCATCGAACCATAAAGCACCTAGCCATAAATTATTGTCCTAATTTTTTAACCGATTGGTGGCGATTATGCCTGGAGTCTCGATTGCCAGTCACTGCGAGAATTGTTGAAATCGGTTTTTTTTTTTAAATAGAAAATGTTCAGCAGAATCGTCGGGTTTTTTTTTCTGTTTGGAAGTGTTTTTTTTTTGTAGATATTTATAGATTTATTTATTTCCGCGTACCTATATCTGCTGTCGTACACCGAACGCATTTCAGTTTATCTATATATAACTAAATTGAAATTCAGTTTCTCACGGGCTCGACACACTTTTACAATATTATTCCTTTGTAATTGTATATTCAAGATAAAATATAATAATATTATAAACGCTTTATTAGTCATATTTTTTTCAGCCGTGAGTATATAATATTATATTTGGTTACCTATACGTCATAATATCATTTAAAACCTAGGTAGAATATTATAATGTACAAAATATCGTAATCTGCAGGAAGACTATTTCAATATAATATTATCTATACTGGTAGGAATAAGATTCGTAATAAACATTATAGCGCGCGTTCTTAAAATCCGAACACTTCAGTCTTGTATTTACCTATTTACATAATGACAAATTAATACCCTTCAGGTAAATTATGTTAAAAATAGATACGATTTCCTGAGGGGACGGGGGGGGGGGACTATAATGTTATTTTACGAAATGCGATACACGCATAATTTTCAAGGTCCGGACACGTACACTGTAAAATACACTCGCGTAAAGTTTTCATTGAAAATATTATGTTATGAGATCTATATATTATTATAATATAGATGTATAACTTATACCAAAAGGATTATAATAATAATAAAATAAAATGTATGCGAAAACGATCGAAGGTATCACGTTTTCACATTGTATATAATATATAGGTACTCGAGGTTCTGAGTGTACCTATAGGTACCTGTAATATAGGCATAAGTGTCAGGTTTTGAAAATATCACGGGGCTCACTATTTTAGAGTATTTTTATACGTTGCTATCTTTCGCCTGTCATATATAAATAATATTCTCTATTTTTATTTTCCTTATAGTGTTCGTTATACTGCAATTACTTTTAGTTACGTTTTTATTTCCGATTTTTAATGATGCACTATAACATTATTAAAAAAAGTACAATTTTTAAAATTATAAATTTTAAGTATCAAATGTATGTCTCCGCATTTGGGAGTTATTAATGAATTGGTTTGTTATAATTTCTAAAATTATTTCTTCATGCAATTAATCTCATAGAAAAAGGACCATATTCATCTTGAATGTCTAAAAATGTATGTGATTCACTTCTTTAATAAAACACTTTGGAGGTTATTGTGAGTCATGGGGGTACCCTCAGATCTTCTTTTTCTTCAAACACTCTTTCGTTGAGTAAAAATGGTCCAAATTGTTCGCATTGTACTTTTAAAGATGTGAATTTTTTACTCGGTTGTACCTATTTGCAAATTCGTTATAGATTTCCAACAGTTAAAAACATTTTTTTTTTTCATAAAAATTGACAACTAATGACAATATACATTTTATTATTTTTGATTTTCGTGGTACAGTAGGCCATAATTGAAAAAAATCACCTATAATACTTATACCTAACCTATAATACCTTATCGATTTACCGAGCTCCGATCAGAGTTGTCTTTTTATTGTAATGATTTATCGTTGTTTTCAGTATATTATAAACTAAATAACCATGTAATGCCATAAACAAATACAAACTTCTGACCTATAACATTGGCCTACCCATGATAAGAATTATATCCGGCTTTTTAAATATTGCATCAACGTTTGATTTGATCTTACCGTCAGAATATAGTTCCATTGTTTTGTACGATTTTCTACGGGAATATTATTTTAACTTTCATAAGTTTCTATTTTGTTGCACAAGTGCGTCCGTGTCGGCATTGATACATTTTCCGAAAATAATTGACGATTTTGTGCTTGTAACTAATTCAATGTTAAGGCCTTGATCAAGGTTTATTCAGATGGGTTCAACATTTTTCCATTTTCCATTTATAAGAATATTGCACGGTTAACAAATAAATTGGAAAAACCGACCAAGACGATACATATTTGGTTCGTATGATCATTTAATTTTGTGTTAAAATGCGAACTGAACATATAGTATAAATGTTATATAATATTTATATTAATATTGTATAATATATATTATTTTTTATACACATGAGTGTATATGTATTTTTCATTTTGATCAAACGTTGATTTTAATGTAATGCCTACGTAAATTAGAAATAAGTTCAAGATTAATATATTATAATGGTTTTCTAAAATACATTTCAAAAATCTTGTTAATATTTTAGATTCTGAGTGGGTACTGCAGTGGTTCTCAACCTTTTTGACAACTTTTAACAGACGTATAATATCTTCCTTGATATCATCAGGTAACTCATTGACTTTAACAATAAAAGGTTATCAATCTTTTCACTAACCGTACTTAATCATACTTTATCTAAACCACCATATTCTGAGAAATACCGATTAAATTCGTCTTTAAGTTTTTGTAAATGCAATAATAATATAACATAACATAATGTAATGTGGCTATCGTATAAACCGTAATAATAAAAGTGTAGTTTTACATAAAGTGATTCTTGGGCAATTTCGGCCGATTGGTCAATAATTATTAATAATTATTTAGTATACACCATTATTATTATTGATAAAAATAAAGTTGATCAAAGTTATGTGTCAAATATTATTCTATAGGGATGAAATAAGAAATTTAAACATGGATTTGCGCTTGGTTAATTTTTACATTTGGTCCAATTTTGACATGACGACGACGACACGGGCAACTCGGTCAGTGGCGTATTTAGGATTTGATCGAGAACGGAGATATTAAATTTGGAAATTATGTCTTATTAACCTATAGACCAAAGAAAATATCGATTTTGAATTCACAAAAATACTTTTGTTTTATAATTCAATCTGCCTTTAAATTATCATTGAAAATAACTAGATATTAGTAATTATTTTAGATTTATTTAGTATTTGGGTAAAAATCTAACCTCTTTCATAGTATAGTGGTTTTATTTCAAACAAGAAAGTATATTTGTATTCAAAAATATAGATAGTCATAAAAATATAATAGATATTGAAAAAATATCAAAGAGGAAGATACTATATTTCCTAATCTCTCCTCCCTCCTCTTCCTCCGTAAATACGCCACTAAACTCGGCAATACGATTTTGGTATTGATACTGAGTTTTACTTTTTATAAAAATTCATAGACGCCAATATTGTGTACATCAGCGAGGTGTTTGACTTGTATTTTACGACATATTATGTAAAGTAAGCGAAAAAGAATATAATATCGCGTTTGTTTTTCAAATACAATGAATCGATGTCGTTACATTTCTGAGTTTTGATGCGATATAGTAGCTGTATATTATAAGAAATAATAATGCGTCGCGATTGCATATTAATATATTTGTTGTTTGTATCCTGTGCAGTGACGTTTTTAATTTATTGTTTCGTTATTTTTTCATTTCATTTCGAACACATGATTTTTTATGGGTATGAAGTAAAACTTATAAAAATATATTATTATTTTTTCGCGTTCGCGCATATTTCATCGAAATCTGCAAATAGCACAATATAATATAATACCTATAATAATTATCACATCGAATTTCCACAGTATTTAAGTGTGTAGCAATAATTATCGTACGGTGCGTATAAAATATATTTCATACATGTATATATTCATGGGAAGTGTATTTTAATGTTACGAAATAATCACAATAGGCACACAATAATAATAATAATAATAAAAATAAAAAAAAAACTACCTATTGGTACCTATCTAATTATTTACTCATTTTTTTTTTTATAATATAGCTGCAGTTAACGGTCCACTAGTATCTATAAATAATAATATATACATAGACGCGTGTCAAATGACTGCAGCTAGAAGGAAAACGACTAAGCGCCTGGATGCATTCATAATACTGTGCGAAATCGAACGAAATCAACTTACTTTTCTGTTTTTTTTTTCTGCAGGTAACAAAACGAAAAAAATTAAGCATTCTGACCGAGTTTGTATTGCGTTCGCGCTTTCCAATGTATCGAACATCATCGTTCGAATTTAATTAAACTATGTTTAGTTATCGATAATATTGATATTTTTCGAAAAAAATCGAGTTTTTTTTCATTATAAATCCTATAATACCTATATCTTTAAACTTGGGGGGCGCTCTTTAAGTTTCTTATAAATTGGTGTAAATATTTTCTGGTGGAAATTTCCTACAATTCGCTAGACGTTGGACTGATTATTGTTAAACAATATTGTTGAAATATATAATGCGGTTTAATAAAAATATTAAAAAAAAAAAAAAAGAATATTTAAGCTTGTAGAATGTCACAACCAAGATATCGATTAACTCCTGGGACAATTATGGACGTTGTCTAACGTATGTGTAGGTAATTAAATACAATCGATTTTAGACTATGAGCATTTTTTCCGCCCGTGAACAACTTTTCTACCAGAAATCTTCTATCTAATTAAAAAATTACAAAAAACCTTTTTCGAATTTTATTGTGGTGCACTGAGAAAGTAACATTTTTAGTTTTCATAGTGATTTAGAAAATCCCAAAAAACCAGACAAATATTTTGTCTTTTTTTCTTAAAAAAAGCTTTGAAAAACGGAATTGTCTTATTTTTATAACGGATCCCTCGCTTAATAAAATTACAATTGTTAATCAAGTTTTATACAACATAGTGAACTAATCAATCACATCATTATATAGTTTTTCTTTACACTTTATAGGTACGGGTATATTGGCGTACTGTGGGCAATTTTATTATTGAGTTATTAACGCATCTTTTGAAATAGATCTGGGTAGCTATTTATAGTATAATATAATAATTACTTGGTCGCAATTCATAAACAGATTTTTAATCTGATAATTATTGTAAAATGACCTAAGTATTGTAGGTATATACCTACGTCAGTTTAATTTTAATTTTAAATTATTTCGTATTTATTAATATTAATTATTATGCAAATAATTAATTATATGTAATGCGATGTTATTAGTTTTAAAAAATAAAATAAAAACTGTTGTTTTTTTCTTTCATAAAATCCGTCTTACACCGCCATTCGAAAATAATATATTTGGTATTATATTTTGAAGGTTATGTTTAATTAATTTTTAGATCCATTATTTTTATATTATTTTAATACATCCAGCAGGTATCTACTGCAGCGATGTGTGCGTGTGCGTCTACGGGTTAATAGCTTCCTCCTCAATTGTTCAGATACTTCACCTATACCTATCTCGGAGCAATGGTATTTGTTTTCTTTATTCGACTACCTATAATTAGCTATAGGTACTTTTAATTTTTTTCTCCTCGTCCTATAGAGTAGCGTTAAAAATGCCAACAAAATCGTCTATTATATAGCTACTATATGCGGTTTAGGCAGAATTCGATTTGGTTTATATTTAATATCGTACGAGTGAGTTTTAAGAGTTATATATATATATATATATATATATACGAGTATAATATATAAGTATTTTTTTAAAAAAAACCAGATATTATTGCAAACGAAGGATAATAAATTAAAAATACGTTTTGACCCGTCGTTATTATCATAACATTTTTTTCTAAAACAACTATGATGTATCTACATATTATTGTGTTTGTTTTAATGGATAAAATTTGTATAAATATTTACTCTATAGGAATTTATAACATTTTTTTTTTAAAGCATATAACATAATATACCTACTGAAATATTGGAATCGAGCCACGTCGTCGGCGGGGCCGAAAACACTCCGCTTAAATTTCCAGTTGGTTATTTTTAGCGGAACGGCCGACTAAGAATTGTGGTAGTGTTCCAGTTGTTAAAATTAGAATTTTCAAAATTGTAAATATTATAATACAATTTTCGATCTGTATATAATATAATATGATGAAGTGTGCACTCGATCGTTTGTCTGTCTGGTTAGTGTACAGCTGCATTAATCGGCGTATCGGTTGTATGTTTTGAATAATTTTTATACATCTATCTATTATCGGTTTTACCTCGAATCCGTTCTGATTTCTAATTTGTTATATTGTTCCGCTGCCGGTAGTCGCGTGATGGGTTTTAAAAAGATTCGGTACGCCGTACTATCGCGGTTTCCAAAAAAAATCAAATGAGTGATTTACATGATTTTCATATTATGTATACTCCGGTCATCTTAGTCGATAGAGCACGAAACTCTTAATATCGGGGTCGTGGGTTGGGCATCGCTTTGTCGTATACTCCGTTTGAGTACTGAGTAGGTATTACACATTTAATATAAGACAAAACTAAAATATCACGACATTCAAAAATATATTTATTTACTTTTAACGAAGGATCTTTTGTAAAAAAACTACGGTGGCGTTGACTAGGATGTGCAACATAAGATTAAATGTGGTTGGATAAAGTGAAGAGAAGCATCAGGTATTTCGTGTGATAAGAGAATTTCAATGAGACTCAATGGTGAATTCTATAAAGTGTGTTGAGATCGATTATGTTGTAAGGTTCGAAGTATTGGGTGGTAGACAGAATATAGAACACAGTATTATACAATAGTATTATTGTAGCAAAGATGAAAATGCTGAGGTGAATTCGATAGTAGACAAAATAAGAGTAAGACTGAGGTTGTTTAGGCATATTATGGGAAGAGAAGAATCTGAAAAGCTGTAATAATTGTAATAAAAACAATCATTAGATGAAAAACAGGAAGAGAGAGGAATACTGAAAAAAAGATAGTTGGATGCGATTAAGAATAATATGAGAATAGCCGGTCGTTGGTGTGGGGTGGGAAATTGGGTCAAGTGGTGGTTTAGGATTAGGGTGGCCTATCTCAAACTAGTTTGTATTAAGTCGAAGGAGAAGAAAAATAAAACATTTAACAACGGCCATACGTTTAACAGTGCGGACGTGTCCGGGTAAAAGAAGATGTGAAGACATAGTTCTCTTCCTTATACCTTTATTAACTTACTAACTTATTTCTTACTTTCTAGTACTTTCAGTACTTTCTAGTACTTTCTAGTAGTTTTCTTACATTAGCACTATTTCTTATTACTAATACCAACATAGTTAATCACTATTAACTATTTACAATTTCTATTATAAAATATAGATTTGGATTTATACGTTTTTGTATTTTTCACAGATATGGAAAGCGTCCATAGATTTTGGAACCGTTCCAAACTATGTTCTCGGCCTCAAAATATGCCTTTGATTTAAAAGCCGTACGGACTACACGTGGTTTGCGAATTTGCAAATTTGATTTTATAAAGTTATATAAGTCATTAGACCTTACAAAAACTTTATTGTTTTTATAACATTTTGGCTATTTTCGAGATATAATAGTTCAAAAATTGCCATAAATAGCATAAATACATTTTATTTAGCCATTTGAAATTTTCGAGGATTTATTTGGTAATTCAAATTAGTTTCACTCGGCTAATATTGAAGACGAAATTTATCTTCAGTTGTAATTAGTTTTTTCAAAAAGTTGAACATTGTTTTGTGGGTTTTTTTCGTAAGAGTTTTGAGTTCAAACTTTGACAAAAATCGTCGAAATCACGATATTTCAAAACCTGTTCACCAGATTTTCGCTCGAAATCGTTTTGTTTCAATGTATTTTGATGAAAAAGTAGTAGTTAAAAAAAAGGAAAAAATTAGTTGTTTTATTAAAGAAAAAAAAACATTATGCATTCGTGACGGTATACATTTTATCTATCGATCGATTCGCAAAAATATTCACGCCGTGTCGAATAACATTTTCAGAAATTATAAATTTGGGTGGGCAGGGGCATGTTCATGTATACCGATATACCTACATACTGTTAATAATATTATATTATAATAATGTAAACAAATATATGTATATATATATTATGTGTTATAATACACTTGGCCATAAACATGATTTATTTTTTTTTTCGTTTCAGGGTTACCCGTGGTGATTTATTTTCTACGTAAAAAACCCATTACACCCTGTAATTTTGAACGATATAAACGGAACGGCACACGGATAATGCGTGGTAACCACGTTACAATATTATCATGACTGGAAACATTGATTTTCAATAACCTGGACCAAGTTTCGAAGTACACACGAATACCGCCCAATATGATGACAATTGGAATTTTAACTAGTGAGTATTATCATGCTTATACTTATTTTGCTACTATACATATACCTACGCATACAAATGTAGTATGCATATGACGTACGTGACCGAACAATAAAATATTTTATACTTATTTTTTATGAAAATTATTAGCCGCCAACGCGATTTACAATATTTAAATACTAAAAAAGATTATATTATATAGATACCGGATTTTTTTTTTTTTTTACTAGACGGCATTGTTGCACATTTTGTCGTACTATACAAGTAATAATGAAAATGTTTTACAATAATTTTAGATTCTGAATGAAGCGTGAAGTGTATTGGTTCCCCCTTTTTTTTAACGACTTTTCCATCAGAAATCTTACTCCGATCGTCCAGTTAAGTATAAGCAAATTCCGGTGCACTGAAGAGGTCGGTTTTTTGTTTTAATTGTAGTTTTTTTAAAAGTTTGGATAATCGGGAAATATATTGTTTAATTTGTATTGATTTCTGCGTTACCTCGGTAACAATGGTAAACCACGATTGTAATACAATTTTCGTTCAGAATTTATCGACTGAAATCGTAAATATCACGGCCTTTTAAACATGTCGTATAATCGAACTCTACTCAGAATTGTTTTTCATTAACAAAGATTAATCGTTGCTTACAGATATACATTAGATTCTCCTGTACATCCTACCTTTAGAACTAATCATCTAAAACAATATCCTATACTCGTGAGAATTATCGCCTTTTTAAAATATTTTACCTATTTATTTTTTTTTTCTTTTACGTGTGCCTCGACTTATTAAACATTTTTATTGCTTTAATAACGGCATAGGAGCTAGACAGTGCTTGGACAATTCAAATAGAAAGTGCAATTTACCTACCTTTTTATTAATTTTTGTTTTCTATAATAATAATATAATGTATTCGAATATTTCCCCCCCAATTCCTCACCCGCTTACTACATATTATGTATTTATACGTATACTATACATAGGTACCTATGTATTTTCTCCGCTTTCTTCTCCGTCATTCCCGGCCGCCGGACAAGGACACGGTTCATAGAGTAGTTGATGCGGTTTATCAATAGACAGCAACATGATAATAACAACAACAACAACAACAACAACAATAATAATAATAATAATAATAATAATAGTAAAAATAATAATACAACGGCAGCCGACAATGGATGAATATAGATTTCCTTACTTCCTGATGATTTTCATGAATTTATTATAATTTAGTGTAACGCCCGAGTTTTCCTTCGTCTATGTTATTATACTCGTATACAGGTGTGCAAAATAACGGCCGACAGGCCTATGCATGTATGTGTGTGTGTGTGTGTGTGTGTGTGTGTGAGTTGGCGTAAATTGTTACAATTGTGGCGACAGTAGCGATAACTGAACAAAATAATGTATTTTAAAATTATCATGTTTGGTTTCAGCAATAATATTATATAGCCAACCGATAATTTATTTTATCATTGTAATACTTGAATAGGAATCTCTTGTTTTTTTTTTTTTTTTTTTTTTTTTTTTTTTGTTTAATCCATTCGATAAACAAGTGAAACGCAACTATGCATATTCGTGTAAAATGTGTAATTTTTATTTTTATTTTATTGCGGTTTTTGTCATGAGAAATGACAATAATAATAATATGTACGCTACGTATGCATTATTTTATCGTTTTCGAATATTTAATAACAATTTTGAAAATAAAATTCAGATTTTGTTTTAGATTCCGAGTATTATAGCGAATTGACTAAGATGTGTGCTTTTTTCTCGGTAAAGCGAATTTTCCGCTTGGCCATTTTTGGACTATTTATAGACATTTTAATTTTTCGAGTGTTTTACGTAATGTTTATTCGGTAGGTACTCTGTGAATAAAATTGTTGGGCCAAATACAAATGCTTGACAATGGAACACGAGGTTTATTATAAATTGTACTTAGTGGTCAACAAGAAAAATTAGAGTGTAGTTTTTTTTTTTTTACAAGAATTTCAATATCAAAGTTTGAAAGCAACACTATTAATCAAACTCTCTCAGAATCGTTGTTCGTGAGCAATGGTTAATCGTTGCGTACAGACATACATATATTAAATTTCCTCTCTACCTTCCTAACTTCTCACCTACAACAGTGGCCCACCTATCGTGAGAAGTATGTCCGTCGTTTTTAGTACAATACCTTTACTAATTATTGTAAATATCGCACAAATCTGCAGTAAGTCCGTGGTTTTTATTGCAATTTTTTTTTTTGTAAATTTCGGTTGGGTTTAGCGATAAAGGTTCGGTAGAAATAATAAAATATTTTATTGTATTTTTTATAGTTAGCTAATGATTGTTGTGATTATGTCTTTGCGGACGTGAACACATAATAATTTTAGACAAATAATAGTAAGAAGGGAAAAAAACCATCATTTTTCTCAGTGATGGAAGCTAGTATTATAATAATATATATATATTGTAATACTATATATAATACGGATGTCCTTCACAGTTCACTAGCTACGCGTATGACACAAATCGATTGCCGTTTTCTTTTGTTTTCCCTGTGAAGTAGAATTACGAAAAAAAAAAACAACAGACCCGTAAAAGACTTCCCTCTTTTTCGTGCAGCGCTTCTTTTTTACAGCGAGCGAGACCGAGCTCGGCGGTGGCGGCGACGATGTACCCGACGAACCGTGAAAGGAAAAACGATTATCGCGTGGCGGCGGTGGCGGCGGCGGAGGTTCGGTATAATATTATTATCATCATGGTCGATGACCAAAAAACGGTTTTCCGTATACTTGCATACAATGTTATATAGGTATAATACCCCTCGGTCGGTGTGTAGGTACGAAAAATTCGTCGGCCGATTATTTATTATAACGGACCGCGGACCTGTTGATCTCGTGAAATCGCGAATTCGACACGAACTCGCGCGGCTCGTCTTCGTCGTCGTCGCAATTCACAATCATCAACAGGTGTATCGTCGGATATAATCAATTGGTTTTGTTCGGAAAATCGGTTAAAACAAATTTTATTTTTTTTTTGTTTCTCCCGACGTAACGTCACGAGCGCGCATAATTGTAAAAAAAAAAAAAAAAATCATAATAATACAAATATATAATATCATCGTCTTCGATATAAATTATCGCGCGTACACCAGATTATAATAACATTATACCGCGTCGTGTTATTTATTTTATATACCTGCGCGTAGTATAAGTACCGTGACCAATTAACTGCGTGTACATTTGGGAATTGTCGGCTGACTTTTTCTTTTTTTTTTTTACACCGATATAACGTTATAATATGATATTATGTCGGACTACAGTATAGAAAAAAAAAATAGCGTTTTATTACGTGTGTGTGTGTGTGTGTGTTTGTAATTCGCATCGAGAATCTGTATTATACGCAATAATAACACTAATATGTAATGACTTTCCCGAGTGTAAATATAACGTCTTTTGTCAACTCGGCGCGACGATGACGCGACGTACCGCCTATATAGGTACCTACGTAGGCTGTCCCATAAATATAAGACACGAAAATATATCGGAATAATGAAAAATGAATTTTAAACATTTTTTAACGCGATAAATTAGACGCGTTTTCCAAATTTTTCCGCATTCAGTCACTTTTCAGAAAAAAAAAACAATGCGTTTTTACCCGCTTGAAAATACCATCTCGGAAATGCGCGCAGCACATGCCTCGTCTTCAACACTTTCTCGACCCGAACCGATACGCTTTTTCGAGACATTACGTGTGTGGACTATAAACTTCGGTCATTTTTCTACGGATTTCGGCCGAAGTAACATTTTAAAAATTATAAAGATCAATTCAAAAGACTTCTTCTTCTGTGCAACTTAAATATTGGTTTTCCGTGTTTATGCGTGGCAGACAAAACGCTCAAGTATCATAGTTGTACTTCATAACACATAGAATACGCAGTTTATTAACTAAATTATCAACGTTGGATATTTCCGGCCGATATGGTACATTGTTTACGCTAAAAAAATAACTCTGTACCTTATTTATCGGACAGTTTACATCACAAACTTCACTTCACGGTGATGATAGGGTTGATAATCGCGGACACTTGAAGTTGTCGCAAAACATTATTATACTCGCAATATTATTATTACAGCCGTTACCTACATTTTATAGTCGTAGTGAAATGTTCAAAACATTCTGGCGATTTTCGAGCTGTTTATAAGCGTCTGAAGTTTTGCGTGGTTCTTTTTTCACAGACTCGTTCGATTTGCTAACTTGAGTCGTTTTACAAGATGTTTAAAGTGATAAAAATTAAGGTGAATTTTAATATGAATTTAATAAATTAGGGGTGTATTTTTATGTTTTTACTTCCCTACACAGAACCAGCGTTAGCAAAAATCGACGGAGAGCTGTGATTAAAAATTTGCTGACTCCATACACTAAATTTACCGACTTCGATAAATGTTTTTACTCATTACTTTGTTCTTTAATAATTAATACATTTGTGATAATATAGCCTGTATAAGTAATCGCGTGATAAAATACCAAAAAAAAAAAAAAAAACTAAGAAATTATTTGTTTTTCTGAATTTAAAACTAATTTATAGCTAAAGTGCTGATTCGAACAAAAAAGTTTTAGGACAGGAGTTAAATAATTAGTTTCTAACCTATTACCTAATTTAAAACTGTATTTTAAATAGTTGTTACTTATAATTTATATCGGACAATGTCGACAATGACTATGAGAAAATTCGTGTGTTTTTGGTTTTGTTTATTATTATTGTTTCGAAAACACGAGCAACCGCCGACGGTGTTTTACCAAATTTGGATTTACTTTGCTGCTGCTGCCACTGCTAACTACTGTTGCGATAATTGGACGTTTTGAGAAAAAAAAAACCAGTTCGTTCGCCAGCGCGCTGTGAAAATAAAATATGTTTTATTATATAAATTAGGCGAAGTAGAACGAATTCTGTATGGTTTTTTTTTGTTTTCGTAAAAAGAATAGTTTTCAAAATATATCGGTCTCTCGTCGGTATACAATATTATAACGGTTACCGCGGTCGTTATTCTATTCAATCAATCGTGTGTTCGAACTGTGCGATGATTATAGAAGTATAGGATGCTGCGATGACCTAAAATAATAACAATAACAATAAAAAAAAAAAACCCGGACGTACTTCGTACCATGGCTTACCTGTAGTAAGCCTGCACTGTCGTAGGTGGGAACATTTTAGGATATAAGATATACGGTGATTAAATGATGTATATATTATACTGAAATCAACAAAGAGGCATTTCAATCGATTCTAAGCGAAATATAAGTATAGGATTAATCGATCGAGTTTTTTGGCAAGGTAACACAGAATGAAACAAAATGACGTTAAAAACATCAAAAAGCGCATTGCAATTTAAAAATGCCCATTTACCTTATAAATAATCTGCGAACCGAGTTTTTTGCTTTTTAGCTTAGGTATTATAGTATCGGATGTAGCGCGAAAGTTGTATCATCATCGCCTATCTACCTACTCTGTAATGCTGATTTAAAACCATTATTTCTTATATTCATGCGCAGTACGTCAATAATTATGCATCAAAAATCAAAATATCATTTTATATTATATATAATACATTTTCATATTTTCTATTGTATAGAGGAGAAGATACTCGATTCTATAACATGCAATTCGATACATCGGGATATTGTATGACCAATATTTGTATTCACCTACTTACCTAATGCATAAAAAAAAAAAAAAACCTTACAATAATTAGATACCTTGACTGTGTTATATAAGTATACGTTATAATACGGTTATTATTACACGAGAATAATACGAATTTTGATTCGAACGGTCGGAGTATGATATAGGAATGCATTCTGACGAATTTCATAGGTGGGAGGGGGGGCGAAATATTAAAATATTAAGAACCATAGAAATTATATAGAACAGTGGTGTGCAACCTTTTTTGATCCACGACCCCTAAATCAATTTATTTCGGCAAGACGACCTCCTTAATATATACAATAATTATAGTCGTATAAATTAAATCATTAATTTTAAGTAGTTTTGTTTAATTTAAATTATCCAAATTTTTGATTCCAAAACATAAAAAAAAAAAATTACACAATTTAATGAGACCCTTGTGATTGAATTGTATACATGATTGAATTTAAATTGGATTTGATATTTGAGACTGCAACTCTTAAATCTGTTTCTACATTTAATCTGGAGTGATGTTTGTTTTTTATTATCGCTAGTGTTGAAAATGCTGTTTCGCATAAATAAGTTGAAGCAAAAGAAAGGAATAATTTCTAATTAAATTTAAAAATAACCCATACCTACTGCGTGATTCAATAGAATTTACTGTCGCAATATTAAGATAATAATATGGCATGTTACGATGGATACGGCCACCGACGGTACAAGAAATATTACGCTGTATAAAATAATAGAATTATAATTATATTAATTATTTATTAATATAAAATATATATAATTTATAATTTTCATTTGATGTAAAAATATTGGTGACCCCCTGTTAAAATTTCGCGACCCACTTGGGGGTTACGCACCATTGATATAGAACATTGGATATTTTTCGATATGGAACATCATATAAACGGCGTAAGGGAGGAAAGCGAACGCCCCATCCCTTAGTAAAAATATTAGGTAAATATGGTCAAACGTGACGTATTGTCTAATGAGCGACGTGATAATTTAAGTACCGCATGGCGAAATAATTATTGAAATAATGTTTTGTTTATGTAATTGTTTGAAATGCAGTGGACGCCAGCGGCGTCCAGTGTAACTCACTTTGGGACCAGCACAAAATCGGTCTTATGACCGAATGAACATCAATAGGCTAAGAGGAGAAAGCATAGAATGTATTTAGATAATGTGTCCGGACCGTCCCAAGTGATTTTGAGTCTAAGCGACTTAAACCTTATAAACCTTATGTCCGTGATCCTTATAAGCAGCGTCCACTACAATCGTAAAAAAAAAAAATATATACATTTTATAAGTAAGTACACAGACTGTTACTATGTTTACTATGTTACTAAGATTCTGAGTGTATAGCGCAGAAGTCACTATTTGTTTTACTAATAAAACGGGCTTTTTTTTCTCTCTCTTAAAAAACACTTTTTTGTTGGTTAGTCGATAAGTAAAAATGTTCTAAACCGTGACTTCTCATGTGACGGCATTCTAAAAGACGCGGATTTTTCGTGGTATTTTATTCAAACAATTTTTCTCGTAGACTTCTGAAAGTTTTTTTTAGAAAAACTTTTAATGAAATGACGTTTTTATTTTTATTTGTTCCGATTCCTCTTGTGGGTTACCGTGGCTCATCGAATAAGAATAAACACGATTAATAATTACGCCAGTTTACTGTGCTCCGATCAGAATCGTTTTTTGTTTGCAATGATTTGTCGTGTTGCTTTCGTGTGTATATAAATTAAATGATCAGCTACCTATACAATAAACTGCCCTCTTACAACTTGAATCCGACAACTTATTTTTATCTGATTTACTAATTATTGTTTTATCATACAAACTTTTTTTACAATGACAAATTATTTTATGTTCTCGGTTTTATTTACAACATATAATGCGGTCACATATAATTAATTTTTTACCGAGTTTGGTTTAGATATCTAGGCAAACCAAATATAAAATAATACGTTCAAGCGCGTAACATAATCATACATCATATTATATTATATAAATTTGAATCTAGTTTCATGTGTAGTTAGTACGTATACGGTAATGAATTCTCAGCTGTAAACCGTATTACCGTATTACCTATACTTGCAGCAAGGTTAACGTTTATGAATTAGTTCAATATGGTAATTAAATGTGTAGTCACATAATGGTGGTTCGGTTTTGAATAATTGAAATCGGTTTAGATGTAGGTATAGGTATTGTAGACGGTGACGTGGATACACCTAATTCACACCAATTATACGTTTTTAAAAATACCTATTGTTTCTCGAATAATATTGTTATTAAATATCATTGCTATTATGATAGACCAATAACTGCAGCTACGCGGTATGTAGTAATTATTGGTATATCGGTAAATAATTTTAATAATAATAATAATAATAATTGTTTCTAAATAATTATTATTATAGGTGTCTACTATACGATAGTATACCTAGGTACGCGTTATAAAGTGATATAAAACTGCAACGTTCAAAAACAATGAAAGACCTCGCGGTGGAAAACAATAATTACAAAAACAGAATATTAACTATTTAGGTATACATAGGTGTATTTATTAAGATAATTACGCCCACTTTAACACCGGACGGCTCCTGTAATCCACAGTTTTTTGAATTATTGTTATTATAATACACGCGTTATAGGAAACCAGAAAATTGGATAATTGTATACAACACCGTTGGCGTTTATCGTTAGCATCCGTTAGTATTTGCCCCGATTCTCTATCTATTGATAAACCTCAAACGACGATGACGACGACGGTTTGAGGAGAGAAAAACCACACAACCGTAATACGAGTATATTCTAGTGGTAAACAAATTGCTTTGAAAGTCGAAACTGCCACTGAAGGCTTAAGACAACAATACAATATAATATTATAATGTGACCGCAGTCCAAAATCAAAGAAAAATAGGACGGAAAAATGTATAGCTTCAGTGGTTTTAAAACTAAAAACATATTTTATTAGAAAATTATAGGTTTCAATTCCATTGCAGGGTCGTTGCAGAAAACGTGTTCGTTTGCGAAGATAATCGCGGAGATATTACCAGATTTTCATTCTCGCAATTTTTGAACGGGATTACGATTTTTCATCCGATTTATCAAACTTTTTATTACCTATCTGTTTTTATACTTTTTTCCCCTTCGCACGTTCATGAACCGTAATATCGGTATTTTTAAAACAGTATTAATTTACCTTTGTTCTATATTAAAATAATTTAATCTAAAATAGTATCTGTAACAATATATAACATCTCAATGCTATGCGAAAGTGAAATCCGAACAATGTCAATATGATATTTAATGTTATACATATAAGTACAGAAAAGCAAAAGTGATTAGAGGCGTTTAACATGTGGTACTATTATATGTGTACAGAATTCGATGGGCCGAGTGAACTTCACCGTACGACAAAGTGCTAAATAGCAGCGAGTATTGGAAAGAAGAATTAGTTTGGTAAGAAGGTTAGACCGAAAAAGTATTAGGGTTATTAGTATTGGTATTAGGGTTATGAATTTTTAGTCTATAAATGGATACTCAGTTTACTGTTCTTTCTTATATATACTAACGGTATAAATTTTAAACGTTTATAATTCGGCCGTCTATTTGTGAAACAAAGTGCCAATTTGTAATATTTAAAATGTTATTCTTTACTTACAAATGCAAATATACAATAAAAATAATAATAATAATAAAAAAGAAGCAAATTTCTATAGTGGCGCTCAAACCCGAATTAACACTATCATAGGCTCAAGGCACTAAACAAAAAAAAAAAAAAAAAACGATCAACAGTAAATTGTTAGATTTGTCGCTAATGAGAGAAAAAAAATCATCAACATTTTTTTTGTAGGCTTTAGGCTGGCTATGGCTAAATTTTATAACTTGATATGATAACAATTTTAATAAATCTTAAAAACAATTTATTTCACTCCAACATATATAAAATTAAATTGTCAAAAATCAATAAAAAATTACTTTTTTATACCATTTTGCATATGTCTTTATCCTTCTTCACCAGTGGCGGCTTGAAGTATGTTTATCTTGAAACACTGATTTAATTTTCCACCCATTTACCCACCCATCCGAACCCAAAGTACCTCCACCCTACCACAAATGTATTGAAATTTGACTAACTCCAAAAAAATTTATCACATGTATGAAATTTACGCAGTCTAAAATTCTTTTAATGAATTTTATTTTGTATAAATTTAATAATTTTGTCATATTTCTGAACACCCAGGCACTCACGACCCACACGCACGTTTTTTTGTGAATATTAACTTACAATAATAATAATAATAATAATAATAAAAGATATAAATATAAAATATTACAAACAAATCGCGTAGCCACACATCTTCGTAGGTCCTAGGCATAGTGCCTATAGTGATTATGCGTTAATATGGCCCTGGTGGCACTTATTGTGTTTCACTAATAGAAAACCATATTGATAAATGATAAATCCAGTACGAGTTTAATGCTTATTATAATGTTTGGAAAAAAAAATATCCTTTGTTTGAATGTGTATAACGCATGGGGGGGAGTAAGGGTGGCTATTTGAAAATCCATAGGTATACTCATTTCTGGTAGGTGTAAAGAGTAGGGGTAAAAAAATGTTAAAACAGAAATCAAATTCACTTAAAATCCTCAGAAAAAATCGCTGGTTAATGCATAATTGGATCATATTGTAGAGTGAACAAAGATACTAATATTTTATCAATCAGATTTCTTACTGTAGGAACAAAAAATCCCACTAAAATTGTCTTGTCGTTATTACGTATAATAAAACGTTTTTAAAAATATAACCATCTTATTATGACATCATCGTACAAGTATCATATGTAAATGTTTGTTATGTTTTCGTATACGGTAACTATAGTTACAATTTGATTATTTCAGTGCACCGAACAATCAAAGTTCATAACAATAAACGAGTTTTTACAGTTATGGTTTATCATAATATAATATTATTTTAGTTTTATTAACTTATATATCACACGTACCTACCTATTATCAGTATTTTATATTCTATATGGGTGCACAAAACTATTATTAAATTACAACTATTTACGCAATCGAAGGATAAACTGCAGCTGCAGTTTATGCGCGTCTGCTGCGTGTAGTATAATTTACAGTAGATACCGTTAATTATGACACTCGGTTGTAGTGACATATCCGGCGTTATGGCCTTAGATTGAAGGTTCTGGCAAAACTTCTATATTTTATGTATTTATTTGTATTATCTATTATGACGTTTATGCAATGAGTCATTAATGAGTAATGACTATACGGATGTTATGACGGTTAATTTTGGTTATATTGGAAAAATCAAACAAATTTTAAAGAAAATTAATTAAAAAATAATACTCATTTTTTTAATATAAAGTAAATTAAATTTTGAAAAACTACTTTTTCAATTTAATTTTTTTTTGTATGTATTGAAGTCACAATTTAGTGATGAAAATACGACACATTGATTGTAATAACAGAAAAAAATAAGACGGTAATATATATTAACTAATTCCTCAATTTTTTTTTCGGTTTTTCGCATTTGATGAAAAATGATCTCCTTAAAGTAGCTCTCAGCACCGATTTCCTTTCAGAAAAGGTGCAACACTTAAAAATCGAAGTGAGTCTTCTGGTAGAAAAGTTGCGCACAAATAATAATAAAAAAAATAAACATTTTTGTAAAACTATAAGCTTCTTCGTTCCACTCAGAATCTAAAAGTAAGCAGGTATACATTAAACAGTTTGTACTTGGTTTTAAAATCATTTGAGTAGAATTTTCTCCTACCTATTGCGTGTTGTAGAAAATATTCTTTGTGAAACAATAAATGCGCCCGAATAGTATTTGTATACTATATTAAACATACTACTTTTGAAAAAATTGTGAAATTTGAGCATACAAATGATAGGGGTGGGGTTTGAAGATTTAAATCCTCCAAAAGGCTCATCTTTGATATTAATGACACTCATATGCGAAATGTCACCCTACTGGTTCTATTCGAGGTGGTCTATAGGGGCTTTTAAAGCTTAATAAAACACCCTACTCCCTCAGTTACACCTGTGAAAACTCGAATTGAAATTCCACCAGACTTTTATAATTTTTCAATAATACGACTATAATAAAACAATTTTAAACCCCGAGATTGTGCTCATTCGGTCCAGAGAAAGCCGCTAAAAGTAGCAAATATATAATAGACACAATATGCGCATATATAATACAACAGTCTCTAATATTTTCGGCGAAAATTCGACAAGAAAAATGAAAACCGAATGAAGATTGTACATGAAAGCTGTTTTTAAACTTTACTTTTTTGGCGTTTTTAATATGTTGTTATTCTTGACGTGACTATTTTTATTTTAAATACAGCGGGATCTCGTTAATCAGAACAAGATGTGCGGAAAGGGCTACCTATTACTATTAAAACACATTTTCTTGAGATTTAAATATAAATCATTACAATGAGCGCGTAATTACTGTTTTGTCCTTTTTTCCTTTTTATGTCACTGTTTTTAGATGTACCTATCCCGAATCGTCTTGAGATGACACTGTAGTCGATCCCTCTTATCGTTAATCAATATAAACGCTTCTAACTTATCCTGTAATTTTAACGTATAAAACTAAATAAAATGGTTCGATAATTCTCAAGTTCATTCGGATTATCGCGTCTTTTTTTTATGATTAGCCTGCGTTCGGATTAACGAGACTTTACTGTATATTAGGTGCCCTGTCTTTAACAGCCGTCAATATTGTGACGGAAATGAAGGCCCGGGGTATTTTTCTTCCGGCATTATAAATCCGAGTTGTTTTTTTTTTTTCGTAAACAAGCAACAAACGATAATATATTTGTATTTGTTTTCGTCAATTCCCGAGACCGAAACATAACATATACTCGAAAAAAAAAAACACGGTTTTATTAGACTATTATAATACCTACTCGTATTTAGTGTTATTAATGAATATACTTTGTACATTAAATACTAGGTGTTATTATAATAAACGCTATTTATTTAAACGAACTATTTCAGATTAGTGTAAGATGCAATCGTATATTACGGTTATTTTAAATCCATATCGTTTGATAATCTCTAGAGGATTTGATATTTATTGTTATTTCTGATTGTGTACGGTGTAATTGAATCCAGACCGCAATAAAGTTAGACAGTTAAAATGTATCGGTTGTACTCGAGGTGAACCAGCACCCGGGTTGTCTGCACAATAATAGATAGTATTTTCGAACAGTTTGAGTTGAAAAATTTAAAAAAAATGGTTTTGATTTTTTTTTTCGGCCATTTTTGTAGATAGTCATTTAATGGTATTGTTTACTACAATATTTCTTTCGATATTTCACCGTTATATACCATAATAAACTGGACACGGCGACGCTTTTAATTTTCAAATATCAAAACATGTTTCCAATCGAACAGCTTAGTTTCACAACAATACGGAAAAACAAATTGTTAAATCGTTAAACCCGTTAAGAGGCCATACGTGTTCATTCCTGTCCTTCCCAATGGACGTCCGTGTCTCGTGCTAACAGTGTAAGAGATAGCCAATAACCGCGCACAGGATTTAAATATTCTAAATAATATATTATTTACTATTAGTATTACTCCATACAAGGACGAAAATGTCTGGAAATGGGAATTTTCCGGATGATGACATGGATCGTATTATAGCTTGGTGCCCTGGTGACTTGATATTTGTACATAACATTTGACTTACTCATATTGTTTAAAAACTCAGTAAAAAGTTATGTCAAGACACATTATATTCGTTTTAGTACGTTTTAGTTTTAGTACCTATTAAGTTTGTTTTTTTTATACATTCTCGTTTAAAACATTAAAACGCGAAAAAAATTTTATTTGGGAAATTGATTATGTATACTTACGATTATGTATTATTTATTTATTTTAACTGTGAAAAAAAAAACTAATAGTGAGGTTATATAGAATAATTTAATTTATATTTATTACGCAACGATAAACCATTGCTAACAAAAAACAATTCTTAGCAGAGTATTATTAGTCGTAATTTTTCATTTGTTACTAATCAAGAAATCAACAAAGTTATTTCCATCGTTTATTAAGAAAATTACTAGGAAAATAAAAAACAAAATGACTTCCTAATATAACTACTAGATCAAAAGTGCTACAAGAAAGATTTGTGATAGAAAAAACTGTTTACAAATTCATACACACACACACATACACATAAACACATAGTTAAACCAATACATAACTAGCTTCGCTCAGTATCTAAAAAAACTATTAAACGACTCGGATATCAAGCGCGGAGAGTAGTTTTGAACGGGATGTCTGACGGAAAAAACCGACAAACAACAGTTTTACACGGTTTTCGACGCGTTCTCGTCGAACCGTTTAATATGTTTTGTTCATGTGTATTTTACCCACTTTTCACTCACACACACGACTGTAGCACAAAATGTACACCTATAAATTATGATTTTACTATTATGTTTTAGGGCTTATTCTTGTCATCACGACCGTCTCGTTTGCGGTACAAGCCACGACCAACAGACCGAAAGCTCAATGCGTCAACTCGAAAGATCCCAAAGGTTTGATGTCGGCCAATTGTGGCTACAATGACCTCCTAGCCGTGCCGGACAACATATACCCCGACGTTCAGGTGAGTTGACCCGACAAGAAAAAAAAAACCCAAAATATATAATAAAGCCAAACTAATATCATATTGTATATACATCAACTTTTCAATAAAATTATGATGTGTCTCCGTGTTTATTTATAGGACAATTCGTACAGTTATAGAGTATTTTTCCTGTTCTAATGCAGCAGAGATTGATGCGCATTTCGTATATTATTGATTCTCGTCCAATAAACTTACGTGCATACTATTCATATCTCGACTACGTAGGAGAATTGTATTCCATTTGTTATATGCGAAAAAAATTGACCATCTGTTTATTTCATCGGTTTATTTGGGTGTGAAAAAAAAATGTATACCGAATACATAATATTATATTATCTATACGAAATGAAAAGTAAGCCTCGAGAGCTATCTCGACGAAACCGAAATGCTGGCTTGGTACTGCTGGCGTTTCTTCATTTCAGATTCTGATTTAATGGAACGAGGCTATAAGTGTTACTTAATTACAGTTTTACTATAATATGTGTTTTTGATATTCAGGGAAAACATTTATTCGGTTATAATAGGAAAAACTATTTGTTTTATAGAGTACCTATTTTAATTATATTATTAAAAATGTTGTGATTTTCTGTGTAGCTGTTTTGTGTACTTTATTCGAATGAAAAACTATTCTAGATTCCGAATATTTTCGCAGTCTTGCAAAACGTAGTCAAGTATAAAAAACGGCATAGAAAACACATTTAAACGCCTTATTTCATCCAGTGTTTCACTAAAAAAGCGAACGAGTTTACATTCACGTTCATTATCTAATAAAACCAAACACGTTTGTGTTCACGTTCACGTTTCTTGGAAAACGAATGCGTTCAATTCAGAGGTTAGCTCCACGGGTGAAAATTAGTACGTTCAATATTTGATACTTTGAAAAACGGCGAAATATTACCAAAAAACACAAACAAAATTATAAAACGTATTATACGACTAAATGAAAGAAAAAATAAAAAAATAACAATTTATATCGGTATCCGGTTTTTTTTTTTTTAAACCGATATTTCCCTAAAAATAATTTCAATAATATATCTTCAGATTATAAAAAAAAGTATTAATATATCGCGTTTTCAGACCAATATGCGTACATGTCGTTCAATGTCAATATTATCTCACGGTTTCCGATTTCAAATATATCGGGTAGCGTATATCAAAATGTCGGGGATATCGGTAAATAGTGGTATCGCGGTTTTTCTTTTACATGAAAAACATATTTTCACGAAAAACAATCGAAACCTATTAGGTATCTACGATATATATATATATTGATAAGATACTCGCGTATGTATCGAAAAAAAAAAACATTTAACCGAGCGCCTCTCGTTCACGCAATCACGTGTTTCACTCGCGCGCGCGGTTACAGGCAATACTGTACCGGAATAACGTGTCCCACGCGCACAGACGTGCCTGCTCGTGTTACGAAATGCGAGTATTATTTCGGAAACGATATTTTTTTACTGCATATAGTACGTAGTTACTGGTTTTTTTTTTCTTTCAAACGGTTTTTTAAACCGATTATATTATTATAATTAAAAGTTCCGGCACTCGTAAACGGTTTGTGACGGTCGGTATACGGAAAAAAAAAAAAACTGACACGCATTATTATTGTACGTATTGTATATGGATACGATGTTATTGATAGTGAATGCTGCGACGGCGGCGATGGTACTTTCCGAGTTCGGGTGTGATTCAGGATAAAAATGACCCGTACCGCCGGGAACAAACGTAACAATAATTACACTCGGCTTGTTCGTGAAATTAGCTTGCATTCTTGTACAATGTAATATTTCACGTTTGTTTGTTTGTTTGTTTGTTTGTTGTTTGTTTTTTTTCTCTCCTTCTTTTCGTGCGACGGGAGTGCTTCCTCTCCGCGCGCGGTGATTCACAAAACAACGCCGCCGTAATGTTTCGAGAAAATATTCGTCACGTCCTCGTGTTATAATACTCTACAGGTAATTGGTATATAATACAAACTACACGTCCACGTTGTTATCGCCACTGATAAAACTGCGGCGCGTATAACCGCCTTTTTATTTAATCGGCACGCGCGTGTCTCACCTTACAACGTACTTATATGTAATGCGCCGCCGCCACATTACGCGCGTCTTGTCACGCCAACACGTCAGTTACCCGGGTCGGGTTCGGATATCAGCGAGCGCGACGGTTTTTTTTCCGGTGGCCGGGCGGGGAGTTTACCGAAATCTACTTCAAAACCGACACTTTTCGCTTTTGTTTTGTTCCGGTAGATAATTTTTAATAATTTTCAACGCGTATATTTCGTACGTTATAGGTACCGGTTTTAATGTAAAATTAGGAAATTGTAATGAAAAAAAATGTCGAACAATTTCGCGTTTGTATAGGGTTTTATAGGTGTTCTCCGTCCGTGCCGATATTGTAAATCCGTTCTGTTTGTGTAATTCGCATTTTAGATTTTGAGCGGAGCGAGCAGTATGTATTGCAGGTTTTACAATGATGGTTTATTATTTTTTTTTTATCTGTGAACGACTTTTCTACCGGAAATTTTGCTCCGATTTTCATGTGTAGCGCTTTTTCCGAAACGAAATCTAATTGGGGTGATCCTTTTGGAAGGTGGTTTTTTGATTTTCCCAGAGGTTTTCATAATAAACGGGGGAAAACGCAGGAAAAAAGAAAAATTTACAAAATTTATTATTTTAAAATCGTAAATATTACGTAATTTTCATTACGCTTGTGACCGTTGTGCAAACTTCACGTTTACGCTCTAGCAATATTCTAATGGTAGACAATAATAACAACAATGATTTATCGTATCCGCGCGTTGTTCCAGGTGTTGGACTTGCGGCACAATTACATCGGCAAGTTGAGCAAGGACAGTTTCACGCTGTATCCAAAGATCAAGAAGCTACTGTTGTCGTTCAACCGGGTGAACAAGATCGAGCCCGAGTCGCTGGAGGTGCTCGGCGAACTGGAAACGCTGGACCTGTCGCACAACGCGGTAGAAGAGGTGCCGGCCCACCTGCCCAAGTCGCTGGAGCGGTTGTACCTGAGCGGCAACCTGGTGACCGACACGCAGAACCTGCCGCAGGCGGTCGGCCTGCAGGTGCTGTGGCTCAGGGCATGCGACTTGCCGGCGTACCCGGTGCAAGTTCTGTTGCCCAACCTGGTCGAGCTGGACGTGTCGGAGAACAGCCGGATCACGGAGCTGGAACCGGTCCACTTGGCCCGCACGTGCCGGTTGGCCAAGCTGAACCTTACCGAAACCGACGTGTTCCGGGCCGGCCAACCCGGGTCGCACTGCCGGTGCCGGCGCGTCGTCGAGTGGGCCCGCACGTACAAGATACGTTTGGTCGGCATAGCGGCGTGTCCGGACCCGGTGGAGGCGGACAACAACGAGGGCGACGACGACCCGAGGACCGAGAACTGCACGAGGATCCCGGACGCGGCCTCCCTTGCGTTCAACGAGTGCATGTCCGAATGGGAGCACCGGAACACGCCGTACTGGGCCATAGGTTCGGCCATGATGATCCTGGCGGCGCTGCTGCTGGTGCTGTGCTTCTGCGTCCAGCGGCGCCGCCGGCGTCCGGACAAAGCGCTGCAGAGCGTGCCGGCGTCCGACACCAAAGACCCGCAGAACAACGACTCGGCCGTGGCCGCCGCGGCCAAAAACAAGTCCGAACCCGCGGCCCTCTTGTCCTAGAGATTTTCGCCCGGAAACCGTGGAAAAATCCCACCATCAAATTTTTAACAATTTCAATTTAATCGTGTACACCCCCCCCCTTCTCCCATATCCTCCCCGTCACCTCCCCACCCCATTGGCCCCTTTCCCGATCCTACCGTTCCCGTTATCATACGGACCAGCACTTGATATTCTCAAACGAGTATGTAGAGATAAATAATATATTATATATATTTTACTTTAAAAAAAAAATACCACTAAACAACTACTTTATTATATTTTTGTACTCGACCCGAGTCAACTACTATATGTGTGTGTACTTAAATCATCATCATATTATTATTATTATTATTATTATTATTATTATTATCATTTATACGTATACGTAGTGTAATTTTTATTGATATAATATTATTATTATCATCGTATTTTTAATACCCGGACGTTGTGTGCAGCCCGCGCGTAGACGCATATAATATCATATAGGTTTTTATATTATTATTATTTTCGTTTTTTAAATCGTGATTTGTCCGTTTTCCGTTTTTGACCGCACCCGCGTCGCGTTACATAATATATTAATATAAATTACGGTAAACGTGACATTTTTTTTTTTTTCATGATCTCTATGCGTAGGGAGATTTTTTTTTCCTGAATATTTTTCCTTGTAGTTTTTTTTTTTATTATTATTCGCCGCGCTTATAATAATGAATTAGTAGTAAGCGTTAGTATAAGCAAATAACAGTAATACGCCGTGTCCCTATGCGTGATAATAATATGTGAGTATATAGCGAAATCGTCTGTTTAGAAACGCGTTCACACGACAATATATATTATAAATATATAAATATTATCATTGCCGCCTCAGTTTTCGTTTCTCGTCGCTCTTTACATTGTATTACGAATTCCATACTGTCGGGACGGCTCGAATATTATAAAAAAACACCGTCGTTCCGTCGCGCCCAGCGCAGTGTGCACATCACCGCGCGTCATCGTCGCGGTGTGTGTGTCGGAAAGGCAAACACGTTATTATCGCCGGCGCCCGGTTCTTTTACGATACAGCGCACGCCTCGCAATCCCCTCGAGATAAGCGCAGATATCTCCTACTCGTACACAAGTAATTAGAAAAACAAATAAACGCGCGAAATTCGCTTGGTAATCGTATAGCTGCGGATAGCTTTCGTCGTGAATAAAATAAAAAAAAAAAAAAACAACACGTCTTTAGCACCGCGGCGTGTCGACCGGAAAATGTTTTCGAATAACGCCCAAAAAAAAAAAAGAACGAGTTCCGCGAGTGCTACGCATATCTAGAAGAAAAAAAGAAAATTAATAAACCGCCGACGAAACCCGACCGCAGTAATAGACGTATACGTATACAGGTACCGACATTGAGCTTTTGTGAAATTTTTATTCGTACGGTTTTCTTCGGATCACCCGACGCCACTTCAGAGGGGGGGGGCGGGTGCGCGGTAAGATTCATCGGCTTAAACGGTAATGCCGCTGAGTCATCTGTAACAAATGTGCACGTATAACACAATCTCTCGTAAGTCCAGTCACTATACATACTCACTATTATCGTCATCGTGTCGTTTATATTATGTATATCCGATATATATATATTTTTTTACTTATATAATATAATGCATATGTTACATTTTTTATTTTATAATATTATAAATACACTACGATTTTTTTTTTATAATATACAATTTATTATGTTTTCGAATAAAAAAAAAAAATTAAGTATTTATTAGTTTAGGTAAGTTCATTACACACACCTATACTTTTATATTTAATTAATATTGTATTGTTTTTTTTTTTTTTTTTTTGTATATTTTATTGTTTTATTTTTAATTTTATTATTCCACGTGAACAAAATATTACAATTATGGTACATTTTTTTTTTCGTTGTACGTTAAATAATAATTAAAATGTCGATGCTTTATTATTATTATTATATTTTTCCTTCAGTTTCCTAATTTAACGAAGATCTACCGAAGGTACGGTTTTTCACTCTCTCAAAGACCACGTTTTCGGTTGGTAAAAATGCCCAGATTTGTTCAAGACATACGTTAAGAAAAAAAAAAACGAGAAATTTCCGTTCGGCGGCACTTTACTTGAAACGTTTTTTTAGAAATTGAAAACACTTTAAATTCTATTTTCAGTTGGTTAATAAAATGCTTCGGTTTGTTCACGTCGTAGGTACATCAAGAGATAAGGATTTTCGATCGGCAGTACTTAATAATTTAAATGATTTTTGCTAGAGAGTTTTTCTAAATAAAGTAAAATACTCGACAACAAAATTACAAAATAGTTTTATATTACTCGATTTCTGGGTTACAATTAGGAAGGGGGAACACGACTATTTTATAACCTTACTTGCAGTTTACTAAGGTCCGCTAAAAATTGTTTTTCTGATCTCTATGGTTTATCGTGGCTTTCGATACCTATATTATAAACTCTAAATTCACTAAATTACACCGCAGAGGTAATTAAGATAAAATGTTTGGAAAGTGTTTAGAACGATTATACTTTTTCAACACGTTTCAAAACTTTTCATTTATATCTGTAAGCAATGATAAATAAACCATTACTTGACGAAAGACGATTCCGAGCGCAGTTCGGCTATACATAATTTTGGCGATTTTCGTTTAAATTTGATTTCAAAACGCTTATTAAAAAAAAAAAAACCGTCCGATCATTTTGAAAATATTACCACATCTAGATAAGTCCATTATAAGTATTATTACCAAGTTTAAAATCTTTACGTATATTTATAACCGAATTACAGGAAAAAAAACTCCTAAAAATTAAAATTCCTTAAAAAAAAAGTACTTGTGATTTTTCGATTAAATTATTTTTTTCTGGTAGAAAAAATCGTAAATTTTTCTACGTTTTTCTTCTATTTAAGTGCTTTAATTTAAAAAAAAAATGACGTCGTAAATCAAAAATCGACTCTTTTGAAGGACAATTTAGACCATTTGAGCTTTCAGAAAAGGTGCTACAAATATTACATACGGAGCAAGTTTGCTAGAAAAAACGTGTCCACAGACTAGAACGAAGAACAAAGAAAGAAGAAGTAAACAGCATTGTAAAACCAATAGCTCCCTCGATACGCTCGGAATCTAAAATATAACGTAATTCCAGTTAACGAGTGAAACAATAGCTTTGCTTACGCATGTATTATATAGGATTGTGAAGACTTATAACAAATAATAACAAAATTGAACCGCAGTATTTTACGCGTGTACGTCCGCGTGCGTTTCGTAATCATAACACAGTTTTAACTTTAATCGCGTTTTCGGCGGACTTTTAACTCGTGATGATGTAATAACAGTACAGGTTAGGTGTAATACATTGTGTATATATGAGTATAGGTAGCGGCGGCTCAGATAATGGGTTTATCGCGTTAAAAAAAATATAGTGACCATTTTAATATTATATTACTGTTATTATGTTCTCGGTTTCGGAAGCTATAAAAAAGCGTGTTGATTTAACGGTAATAGTAATATTTTATACACCAATAGGCGTAGAGTTGCATTCGTTTTAATCTATACACAACTGCGCACCTACACCAATAACCTATTGACCTGCCGAGGCATTATACCTATATTATATTCATATAGGAGACGCGGTAGCGATGATGATTTTGTGGAAATAAAAAAAAAAAAAGCGAGAGATCGATATTATCACATGAAACCGATAAACGATTTTACTTGTTTAAAATTTGGTTTTCAAACGAAAACTTTCGTTTAGTCGGTGCATCTGTTTGTTTTTGATTTTCTTTAAGAAGAAATTTGATCAGAATCGTATTTCGTTAGCAAAGATTTATTATTGCGTACAGATATAAATTACATTATTAATCTATAAAATGTGTACCCTCCCTGACGATTTCTCTTGCAAAACAGTGATGGCACACCCATCAGTGGTATATACGCACCTTTTTTATTTGTTATTTATTTAAACTTAAACGTATACTCGTTTAAACTCGGCGATTTTTCACACGATAATAAGATTCAATAAGTTAAGCTCTAAAAAGAGAAACAAATTGAATAGATGTATGTGTGAATAGACCAAACTCAGACACTACACGTATAATATAATATGTGTTAACATCATCACGAGACGTTTCTAAAAATCGCTTTAGTTCAGAAACGTGTTACGAATATTAAAAACGCACCTAATAATGTAGGTACCTGTTAATTTTTCGTGAATGCAATACATATTACGCACACGTACGTTCACATCATTCGCTATAGTGGCGCGAAATAAATTCGCGCGTGTAAAACATGAATATATTCTTTTAAAAAAAAAAAAATGAATATTCACAAAGAATACTAGGTTTATCTATGCATTTCTTTGATTCGTATTTTGAATTTTGATGAATACGTAGATATGTTTTGTTTGTTTGAGGTATAATTGTAACGCAAATGTGCAACTTAAACGAAATACGCCCCCCCCTACCGTCCAAAACGTATATTCACATACTTACCGCCCACCCATTGCTCGAAATAAGTTTACCATCTTACAGTATCCCACCAATGACCCGGGGGTGTTATCGCTCCCGTTTAAAACCACTGAAATAAACCAAACCGACATGCTGTATCAATACTCAATAAACGTTCCAAATTCCAAGGAAATCTGTTGGAAAAAAAAGCGTTAAGATGACATATTATTATATTTAGCACCACGAATTGAGCACTGTAGATTCACGTGCAAGGGTTATGGTGTTATTTACTTTGTATCGTTAAATTATTGCAAATGAAACACGATTCTGAGTGGAGCTCATTTTTTTACTATTATTATGTTTTTCACAAACAATTTTGTCTCTGTCTAACGGGACAACAGACTCACGCTGACGCCGCGAATGCGAACTTGTTTCGATACTATATAACATACAATAGACATTATCACGGCGAAGATATTGAATTTTTCGTGAAAATATGATTTTCGACACTGTAGGTACAACATTGCTCGTGACAATAATAATCAATCGAATGCTTTATTTGAACTGCGGCCGTCGCGAGTGTAGAGTGTTCCCCGACGCGGACTCTGATGTATTAAAATATAAATTACGTTGCCGGACTGTATGTAGGGAGAGATAAGTGGTATACCTGAAATTATTAATTATACGGAAAATAAAATTATGTGTATAGCTGATAAAACGATAATAATATTATTGTACGCATAGTATTATTGTAAGTAATTAATACACCAATAATCTCAAGGGTAAAGCCGATAATGATGTTTTCCGTAAATCGTCATTGTTATGACGGGCCGACGAGACTCGAGTTCAATCAGTTTAAACATCTCAGTCCAAACAGACTACCTATCCTATTATACACGTAATAACACCATAAAGCAGTAGGTATTAAGTATTACCGATAACGTTATTAGTACGCTATTTATCTAAACGGTACATACCGTCTGTATCGGTGGCGTGCGCTGGAAGGAGGAAGGTTAGAGGTTATATCCCCCCCCCGTCGGCTTGAAAATACGAAAAAAAAATGTGAGCAATCTAATATTGAAATGCATATATTTCAGCCAAGTTACGAGAAAAAACTGTTTGATATATTGATAAGAAATTGACGATTCTTATTTGCTACAACCCCTACCATTGAAAATTCCTGAGCACGTCAATGGTCTGTACATTACAGTCAGAGTAGGTCGTTCAATCGAAATTTACGTGACGGTATTCGAATATAGATGATGTCCCATCATAGATAATGGATAGGCCATCCCTATGCTAATTACTTATGAGATAGCGTTCCCGAAGTTTAGTTCTAAACCCCATCGATGCCATTATTACCAATAGTAACCATTCTGATAGTTGTTATCATTTAAATTACAACTATGAAAATCAATCATTGTTTTTAGATTGTCACTCATCGCGGTTAATTAACATTATTTTAAAATATATATATAGGTATTAGGTATAAGTGCGTATATTAATAATTATATTAAAATAACAAAATAATCACGCCGTTACTAATATATCTCATTTTTATGTAACATTAAAATTATTATCTTGAAAATTAAATAATTTCTTGATAAAATTTAAAAATAGAATATTATTTTTTAGACGCGAATTTTCGCGTTTTCAGATATGCGTCCAATAATTAATAGTATAGGCAACTCTTTATACATTATTTGGACTTAGTAGCACGAGGGAAGACTTGGAAGGAATGGGTACATTTCTTCGAAAATTAAAAGAACAAAAAATAATGATAAGACACAGATAATATATATCTGTGTGATAAGAATAAATAATAACCCCCCCCCCCCTAAAGCGGTATGCTAATATAATTTTTGAATAACTGTCTCACACCGGTGGTTGTAAACGGTTACAGATAGGGAATTTTATACTTTCTCTGTGCTCCTAGCCGAGTGTACCATATTTTTGTTAATATAGTACGACCCGACGGTAAAATGTTCAAAATATTTTTGAGTGGTAGAATTTTTTTTTTATAATAATTTAAAGATACAATTTTGATAACAATCGTCAATATTACGGCATTTTTAAATATGAATTGAAATTCACTCATAACCGTATTTCGTTAACGATGTTTTAAAGCAGTTGTTTAAAAATTTAAATTAGATAATTTTAAGTATCCATCTTTTCAACTTCCCACATATTTTGTTTCATTTCGTGCCAAAAAAAGGGATAAGTAGAGGAAAACATGGCTCAAAGGGGGGGGATCCTTTATATCCACCGCTGGTATCAGTATCAACTTTAAATCCTTAATCGTATAATGTCTATTATGATTTAAGATGCACAAAATATGTATTTTTAATCATAGTATTTACTGTTTACATAATATAATAATTATTTATTAGTATCAAAATTAAATATTACACTATTAAACGGTTGAAATAACATAATATCATCACTATCGAGACGAAAAGATATTACTGTAGAAAAATGTTTTCCCGTATTTACTCACTGTGTGATTAGCGTTCATATAGTGAACATCTTAAATATTTATATATTATATTATTTCGCATTTCGAAAACATGCCTTTCTTTCAAAAGTTAAAACTTTCGAAGTGCTCTCAATGTGAGTCACGTTGGTGCCGCTTAAAGGAACGAACCCGTAAGTACATAATTTATTTATCCTTTTTGATTTTGAGCATATCGAGTTTACAAATAATTAGCCTTTTATTTCACAGGGTATTACATGATAAGTTTTTATCGATGATTGTATTAATGCTAAATATTTTTATCTTGATATTCATCTATTCGTTTTTATAATTCGCTCTTTCTACTGTAATTATCATTAATTTATATTCTCAAATTTTAACATTTTTTTAACGCAATCATATCCTCTTTTTTTCCCTTGAAATTCTTTGATATTTTCATTCCATAAGTTCAAAATGATCTGAATTAGATTATATTTTGATTAAATAACTATGAAAATAATATAATAATTATATGTATACATATATATATTATTTTACGATACACAGGTGCTATGTACACGCGCTTATGCGACTCGTTTACATCAACAGCGGAACGAATCCGTCAAATTCAAAACCAACCGATATTAAAAATAACACTAGTTCCGCTACCTTCAAGTCTTCTGCAGGTACCTATAATAATAAGTAGTGTAATTTTGCTAAAAGGAAATTCGAATTGGTAAGGTACTTTATGGAGGTTATTTTTCGATTTTTTCATGAGTTTTCTTATCAAATTTGAAACACTGGAAAAAAAAGGGGGAAAATATAAGAAATGTAGGTATTAGTTAAAATATATTACGGCCTTCTTTTTTACTGTTTTTCTACTATTTACTACTACTTACTACAATGCCTATTGGTTTTGTAGACCATTCGAGATGATTCGCCAAATACAGAAGACGAACTCGAGTTTTCCAAAACCCAGAAAAATGTAAACAAACAAAAACGAGTTTCATTTATTGTCGAAAATGATAAGTCTTCCCGAAACTCATCTCTTTCAACAACGGAGACTACAATCTCTAAAGGTAAATTTATATTTCACTATATACACTATAAACTGTTCTAGGATAGTAAAAAGCATAATATTTAATAATGCGTTTTACAAAATAAGATAAGTTAGTTGTTTTTTAAATAACGTCAAAACATTAAATCAATATTATTAAAACTTCTAGGTATTCTAATTGCTTCTTATTAATTTTTCAAATTTTGTTTTTTATTATATTATGAATCGCAAACTAATAAGTATCATTTAATAAGTTTAAGCATAATATTATTATGAAATATTATAAGCACACTATTTTTTGAATTCTGAGCGAAGCGAGGAATTTATTAGTTTATATTTAATATGTTGTGTGTTTTATTTCTATCTGTGCAAAATGTTTGGACCAGAAATCTTATTCCTATCATCGACTAGGTACAGGAATGCTTTTTTGTAGACAATTTTGACATACCACGTTAAGAAATCATTATTTGTTTTGTTTTGTTTTTTAATTTCCTTAATAGCTAATGAGAGAAATTCGATAAAACGTTGGAAAATATTTACAAAACAACGGGTTTTATAAAAACCGCGTTTGTTTTTTGTTGGTAATCATTGAGAGGTATATATATATATATATTTGAGACCTACATTTTTAAATCGTATAATAAATTTCTATATAATTCTAATATGTATTAAGCATGATAATTGAAACATTATGTATATTTATATACATGTATGCATACTATGTATATTTTATCATAATTTATTATAACTCTGGGAATACTATTTTCATTTCGATTGTAGTTTTAAAAGCAACCCTTTATATTATTTAATAATGTATACAGCTAGTATACACTGCAGGATGCTGCAGTAATCCTCGATAAGACACTCATTTTATTTTTTGGACATCTTATGGATCAAGGAACTCTAAAATGTTTAATTCCCGTTATTTTTTGTCACCCGTATTTTCATGGATGATAACACTTTTTGATTTTTAAATAACAACGTAAATTAAAAATTCCATAATTAGATAAAATTTACTAAACTTAAAAATGTAATATATCGCTAACGGGTTAACGGAAGTTACAAATTTTAACACAAACATTTGTTTACACTAAAATTTTTTCTATTTTTGAAATTTTAAATATATAGATTAATACTTGAAAATATGAATTGAGTATTGGTTTCGCTTATAAAAAAAAGATGAATAAAAACTAATTGTAATATATAACATTTTAGAGCCGCTTGTTTCATAAATAAATTGTCAAAAATAAACAAATTCTAAAAAAAAAAATTAATACTCGAGATAATGGGTGTCTTATCGAAGATCTATCACTCTGTATAAATAATATACATATACTAGTTGCCCGTGTCAATTTGTATTATTATTATTTTACCCATATTCATTTTTGGTTTTGGAATGGCCATGTTAGAATTGAATGAAAACAAATAGGTGGAAAGTGGGTAGTCNGCTTGATTATTTGCGATTGCATCATTGTCTGCGATTTGCAGGACAGCAAAGACTCGTGGGAAGTGTTGCCCACTACCGGTGTGGTTGGAGCGCAGCGACAAGCTTCCTCGTCGTAAGTTGTATCTGAAACTAACTTGTGCACCAATTTGTTGGTCCCTGGCCGGCGGCCGGTGTTGCGTGTCGGCAGCGTCTTCTGTAAACAGATCTCCGGGTGCGGCTTGATTTCCACGTCGTTGTCGCTGTCCAAATCAAATGATTGCATTGTTCTCAAATACGGCTTGATTATTTGAGATTGCACCATTGTCTGCGATTTGCAGGACAGCAACGACTCGCGGAAAGTGTTGCCCACTACCGGTGTGATTGGAGCGCAGCGGCCCCTCATAACTTGAATGGCCCAACATTTTCGCAGACTATCGAGATTTAACGAAATTTATCCATTCCAGACACAAATAAATTCAATTGAGTACCTGCTATTATTGTAACAAATTTTCATAAATCAGAGTTGTGATTTATACATATTATTTTTTTCTAATTTCGTATTATCTATGTATGTATATATATATATATATATATATATATATATATAAAATAACATGTCCTGACTGAATGACTGATTCATCATCACTTAGCCCAAACCACTGGATAGATCGAGCTGAAATTTGGTACACAGATAGCTATATATGACGTAGGCATCCACTAAGAAAGGATTTTTGAATATTTAACCCCTAAGTGGGTAAAATAGGTGTTTTTATTAGGTATATTTGATACGAATATCTAAGTGTTGATTTATTTTTTTTTTTTTTGTTTATTCAAGAGTTACCTTGGTGTTACGGAAAATAAAACTATTACAATTATTATTATTACTATTATTTACACTATTAAAATATCACATTAGAACACATTTAGTTCGCCGAAGGTACAATTAATATTAAATGTTTAATGGTAAGTACCTACACATTTTATATCATGTTCACAACGCAATCATTAAATTGGTCTGCCAAATAGCATAAAATAGTTGGAATTACCTACGTAATGTTGTATACGATAATTCACTCATCACATTTACACACGTGCATAAAATATTGGTATAAAAAAAAACCAAAACTCACAAATAATAATAGGTATCTACAAATATATAATTTCATGACGAAATATAAAAAGTGTACGGACTGAGAATGGTCTGTAAATGGAAAAATCGAATATCTCATAGTTAGAGATTTTTCTAGTACGGTATACAAACAAAAAATTAATGTACAATTTTTCGATATTTTGACATTATTCCGCCTTCGGTCCGGTTCTGATGACGACGGTAAAACGTTTTAGCGATCCAGAGATGCTGTCGGTAATGCGGTCGCCCAAAATCCATTTTCATCGTAGGTCATTCGAAAATGTATTACGTTTCGTATCCGTAGGCGAGAGAAATTTACATAATATTTCCATTAAAATAACAGCTGTGCGCACGCGATATTTTTAGTCTTGACCGAGGAGCCAAAGGCAGTCCCAAAGGATCTCGAGACTGAGGCAACCTGTTACCCGTCCGCCAGCTTTGGTCTCGTATATTTTATTGGGATAGCGAATTAACGAAGCGAGATAGTGGGATAGCGAAGGGATCACTAGTAACAACTATGGGTGGCGGTTACCCACCGATCCGGAGTAGGATAAACATTACTGGTACTAGTGATAATATACGTAAAAACGTTAAAATTTCGAGTTTAAGTTCAAGTTTTGTTTGTTTTTCTATAATAAGTTACTAAATCAATAATAATATGTCATTCACTATTGGAGAAATATTTACGTTTGTTAAATGTACTCACGAAATGTTGTCGAAGGAGAGCAAGTTTTAAAACGCAAACAAATAGTATTTGTGGACAAATACTTAAGCAGTTTGATTACGAAATGGCAAAGAAAAATGTTTATATATTTCCATTGTATTACTAATAAAGCAACTTGTGTTTCTTGCCTAAAGATGATGTTGACATTGTTTATTTTCTTAGGCCTTGATCTTTTTTTGGAGATTTTTGAAAACCTTGATACTGATAATTTATGTTTTGGAATTGCAGTCATTTTAGGCGAGCTTTTTTACTTATTGTTGCTTAAGTTCATTATTAATAAAATAAATTTAATAGGTGCATAGTATGTAGGTAAGTGCAGTGATTGTGTGGAGTTTTTTATTCAGTGGCGTAAAAAATTGAGTATCCTGAATTACAACCAAAAACTGAACAATTTACATGGCTTTTTGACAATTTAGAGAAATCTCTTTATCTCACTACTTACTTACTAAAATATACACTAATTGTTTTTCATCAATTCTAAATCAAATGTAACATAACTAAACCTAAAAATATTCAAGTAAGCATTTAGGTATAAAAATGCTATAATATTATATAAAACAATATGATTAACCTACTACAGATAGTTGAGATTTTGTCCATCAGGGAGCGTATGCTTATTTTGTTTCCCCAATAGGTATTTCGTTAGTAATGGTTTAAAGCGGTTGTTTAAAGATTTAAACTAAATAACTTTAAGTATCCTACTTTTTCAATGTCCTGGCCATTTTGTTTTATTTCATCCCAAAACAAGGTATAAGTATTATGTAGAGAAAAATATGGCCCAAGGGAGGGGGCGATCCCTGCTTATATCCACCGCTGGTATCAGTATCAACTTTAAATCCTTAATCGTACAGTGTCGATCATGATAAAAGATATACAAAACGTGTATTTTTAATCAAGGTGTTTACTGTTTACATATAATAATTTTTTTTAGTATCAAAATTAGATATTAGTATTATTACATTATTGAACAATTGAAATAACATAATATCATCACTATGGACAGGAAAAGACATAATACTGTCAAAAAGCGTTTCTATATTTATTCATATCGTGTGATTGAGATTCGATATGTACTTTGAATAATTAACTGAACACAAAATATCATGAAATTGTTCAAGTGCAAAAAATGTCCATCTCAGTAGATACATTGGTGTCGTCTTCTGACGTGCACCCGTAAGTACATAATTTGTTTTTTCTTTTAGATTTTGAGCATATCGAGTAATATATCGGTTTTACTCTTGAATGTTATTTTTTTTATTTTTAATGTGTGTTAACTTTTCTATTCCGAAAATCTTGCCCCGAAGATATTTTACATCACAATTTTTTGTGGCGGTGGCGGTGTTCGTAATAATGTACGTTTTTACGACGTGATAAGAAGGGGACGATTTCATAATGCAAAGAAAATCTACCCGAGAATATTCCATGTGCGTTAAGTTTTGTTTTATAAAAACCGCCAATTTCGGTGTTAGATATCTGCGCTATCATTCTCGTAAACATAGAAACAAAATAGCGTCGTAAAGTAAAAAAATTCTACTACTCGGTCGTCCGTAATAGTTGGCGATGCTACTCTATCCGTGTGTTTCCCGTGTTTATTTTTTTACCATTTTCCTCATCTGTAATCAGTCCGATGGAATCATATAAGATGCTTATCTAGCCTACAATTTTTCGCACATCATCTACTAGCATTGGTGCAGTAGATAACCCGAATTCCGTACAACGGTGTAATGCAATCTTTATCTATACGTGTGCCAAAAAACGACAGCGCCGATTTTTACAGTGTAACAGTGAATTATTATTATGAGTTATTTATTGTTATCAAACGCGCGTTGTTTGCAATCGATTATTTTCTTTAGAAATAAACCGAAAATATCGCGTTTCGAGTTTAACTAAGGTTTTTCTTTTTGTGTCATTTCAGATACAACTTACGACGAGGAAGCTTGTCGCTGCGCTCCAACCACACCGGTAGTGGGCAACATTTCCCGCGAGTCGTTGCTGTCCTGCAAATCGCAGACAATGGTGCAATCTCAAATAATCAAGCCGTATTTGAGAACAATGCGATCATTTGATTTGGACAGCGACAACAACGTGGAAATCAAGCCGCACCGGGAGACCTGTTTACAGGAGACGCTGCCGACACGCAACACCGGCCGCCGGCCAGGGAGCAACAAATTGGTGCACAAGTTAGTAGTTAGAAAATACTTATTACTATACATAGTATGGACGCGTTTAAGATCTATTGGATTAGGAATGGGGCATATTTAATATCAACAACCTATAACCATGTACTATGGTCTGTGCAAGTCCAACAATAATTTGTCTCCATTTCTTCAATTTTTAACATATTTTCAGACAGCGGCCCCTCATAACTTGAATGGCCCAACATTTTCGCAGCCTATCGAGATTTACTCAGTAACTCGAATTTATATAAAGTAAATCCACCTATAGTAGACAGTAGTATAAAATGATATGTAAATTCGTTTTTATTGTTACAAAATAATTAGGCGGGATCCAAATTGGACAATTAGTCGTTGTATTGCTTATTGCTGCTGTAGAATCATTTTTTTAAAGTAACAGATTCAATTTTTTTTATCAGTTTTTTAAACAATATAGGTACTAAATTGATTTAAATTGTAAAAGATCAAAATTAAAAATTAATTTTTTTTCTATACTATTTCAATAAAAATATTATTTTCTTGTATTTTCCCGTTTTTTCAAATTATTATGAAAACTGCTTGGAAAATCAAAAAACGACTTTCTAGATCATCAACTAGATTAAAAATTCAACTAAAAAGGTCTCTTGTAGATTTTCTATTGAAGTAATATCTTTTGAACAAAACATAAGCCGTACAAATTTTAAATTATTAAATTGTTGCTCCGTAATTTGAAAATTATCGTATTTTTCATCCTTTAGGTCTTTCCCAATTATGAAAAATATTTTGGATACCTAATCTTTGACAGTGGCTATATATTTTAAACGGAACAAAATCGATTTCTAGTTCTTTTTCATTCGGAGCAATATTTCTGGTAGAAAATATTGTGTTTACAAATTTAAAATAATAATAAAATCGTTAACGCCGCGGTGCGCCGTAAATATTTGACGTTTTACCTAAAATTTGCTTTCGAGGTTTTCTCAATAATTTTGAAATCTCTTAGAAAATCAAAAAATGACCTTTGCAACGCATCAACTAAACAAAATTACCTTTCAGAAAAAGTGCTATGCTTTAAATATCGGAGTAAGATTTCTGGTAGTTAAGTTAGGTATTGACTAAATTGTTTTACAACTTTTAAATAATATCGTGTTAGTAGTGATAGTACCATTATATATCTATTCTGTAATAGTACCTATCAAATATCAACTAGGTAGGTACCAGAATAATATGATATTTAAATAAATAACTAAAATAATATTACGAATAGGTACCTCTATTAGGTACCTATTAATAAGTACTTATTATCTTGTCATGTCGAAAATGTTCAGCAGACATTCGATTTACAACTATTTCCTCACAGTTAGCATTTCTTACTGCTAATTCTCCAAGCTAAACAATTAGGTTTTAGTGCCTTAAAAATAAGATATTGTAGGAATTATTTTTGCATTATTAGTCCATTCTTATATACTACACTTAGAGTGTATTCATTATTCAAATTTATTTGTTGATTTAAAATTGTTTTAATAGGAAATAGATAGGTACACGGGAGATTGTAAAAATTTGAATATTTCATGCCACATTATTTTGGCTGTAAATTATTATAGAATAAATAAAAATGTATTATCAAGATTTAAATAATAATGCCAAATATAAACATCGGTAGCGCTAAAACCAGTTTGGCTGCTGTGACTATGATAACAAAGGAAACGTTTCGCGAGCCGACACCCGTCAACCATGTCGATATCAATCTAGTGGTTATGCCGGTTATGGGGATCAAGTTGACCGGGGAACTAAGTGATACGTCACTATGCCCCGACTACAATGCTTGTACAATCTCCTTGGTTTGGTGAGTTTTGATTGGTTATGTTTTGCAACGATTATCTTTATTACTAATTATTTGATTTGTGATACCTTTTCAAATAAGCATTTTTCAAACAATTTCTTAAATTATTAATTTATCGTCTTTTAAGTTGTTAATTGTTAAGTTTGTCACTACAATAATTGATGTTACAGTTTATTTATCAAAATTATAATGACGATTGTTATTTTGTAATTTGTTCTAAAGATCATTGTTAAATTAAAAATAATAATGTTGCGTTTAAATAATTACGACTTGCAAACCAATTTCAGCACTAAATATGTAACCAAAACAACATTCGAAGAAGTTTCATACTCTGATAGCCAAATCATACACCGCGTTGAAAATGTAATTAGTATTGCATAAACATAAGTCACCTGGGATATATTTCCAAGTGTATGTAACCTATTAATTATTTATTTGTTTTAGTGGTTAAATTTATACTTACAAAGTTCAAGACAACGAAGATTTTTGGATAAAGAATTGATTGTAAATGGTCTGCGATCATTACATCCCGAATATAATAGAAAGCCTTGGGGGGTTTTATCTAATTTAGTTAGCAGAGGTTTGTTTATTTAATTGGTACATAATGCCTTATCTCATAGCAATATTGTATATTGTCCTTTAGCATTAGTAGTGCTCGATAGTCAGAAGATCGATTCTGAAAGTAGCCCACAAAGTATATCATCAAATGAATGTTCAACCATTGACATAATGTCTTCTGAAAGTGAAGAAATTGACATGTCAAATAATTTGGATCCACCTCAAAGTTCAAATAATGATATCACAGAAACTGATGTAAACAGCTCAGAAACAGCCGAGAAGTATTTATCTCTAATCAATTGTTATTTTGTTAATATATTTTTTTTTTTTTTATTGAAATTTCCAATAAATTATGTATACCTTTTTTAGAATCGGTTCAAACTCATTTTTGTGTAATTTAATCACTAATAGAAACAATTATGATTCTTCAAATGATGTTGAACGTTTGGTAATTAAGAGTTTATTTTATTATGCATTAACATTTAAAAATTATAAACTGTTATTCTTATAATCTTGTTTTTAGTCTGGCTGGGTTATAGACAAAACACCGATGAACGTGAACAATCTTAAAAGAAAAAAGAAAACTAACTTGAACAATACTGTAGAAGAAATGTCAACACCAATGAAAAAAGTTTGTCAGGAATTAGGTACCACTGAAGCTGTAACTGTTACATTTGATGATCTGGCTGGTTGTGATACCGTACTATTAGTATGTTCAAAAAAAAAGATTCTATTAAAGGGTAAAAAATTGTATCTATTATGTTTAAACTTATTTTTAGGATATTTGTCAATTAGTTATGCACATTAAGTACCCAGAAGTTTATAAAACATTGGGTGTGTCACCACCAAAAGGATTTTTACTTCATGGACCACCTGGATGTGGCAAAACATTGTTAGCTCAAGCAGTAGCAGGGGTATATAATTTATTGTAACTCCTAAATTATTATTAAACTTCATTAAATTATTATTATAAAACTATTTGTTAGGAGTTGAAATTACCTCTAATAAGCATAGCTGCACCACAACTTGTGGTTGGTATAAGTGGAGAGTCAGAAAAACGGGTAAGAAAACTGTTTGAAACTGCTGTTAAGTCTGCACCCTGTGTACTTTTTATCGATGAAGTAGATTCCATTTCCCCAAACAGAGATAACACTTCACGTGATATGGAACGTAGAATCGTAGCTCAATTATTATCTTCATTAGACAGTATGATTGTTTATAGATAACCATTACAGTGGAATTTTAATATTTTTTAAGCATTATTTCAGGCTTAAAAGATGACGATAAAGTAATTGTGATTGGTGCTACAAACCGTCCCGACAGTTTGGATCCTGCATTGAGACGGGCTGGTCGGTTTGATCGTGAAGTTTGTCTTGGTATACCGGATAGGCAATCTCGTAGAGCAATATTGGATCTTATGTGTAAAAATTTACGAATCGATCCATCAGTCAGCTTAGATAAATTAAGTGAATTAACACCGGGTTATGTTGGTGCAGATTTAAAATCACTTACTCGGGAAGCTGCTACATTAGCAGCCAATAGGTAGATATATTTATGGTTATTATTTATTAAAGAAATGGTTAAATAATAGACAATATTTAACATATTTTGGCATAATTCTAGTTTAGCTCCCGTGCGATTTATTAGGGTTTTTATTTCAAAATGTGTGTTTTTAGGTGTACATTAAGAATGTAAAAAAAAAGTTTAGGAAGTTATGGAAGAAAACTTCATAAAGTTTAGGTTTACTGTCTTGTGCATGTCTTAGTTAAAATTTAAAATTTTCAAAAATGCGTGTTTTTTAATGTTTAATCCATTGATAGGATTGGTTGGTAAGTTAATCATAACTTACTTATCATACTTCTATAGTTTTTGTAGATAACCCTTGAAAAATAGTATTTTTGAAATTAATCAAAAATGAACCTTTTTTTAATTATTATTACTATAGTTATTGATAGTTTGATAATAAAGTTTTTTTTATTGAAGTCAAAATAAGTCAATCTGGCTTAGTTTTAGAATTACAAATGTTTGAACGCACCGTGTTTTACTGCGCTCAATCAGAAAATTTTGTAACTTAACTGATGAACAAACTACTAAGTACATTATAGAAATTAAATGTATTTAACGAAAAACAGGTTTTTGCAGCAATAGAATAATGTATTTCTACTTACGAGATTTCCTAAATTTTAAATAGATTTTCTAAATTTCATGACAATACCCATGGTTGAAATAGTCCAGGTTATTGCATATATACTCCTCATTTAAAATGGCAGTGTGAATTGAATTTGAACTTTAAACTGATTACAACCTTAACTGTTGTAATCAGTTTGGCAAATATTTTAAAGTTCAATTTTCAAACAGTATTAAATACTTAACAGTTGGATTTGAATTTTGAATCGAGCTGAAATCAAGGGTTTAGTTCCAGATCATATAATTTGACCCATCACCAAAAAGAAGTATTAATATTTTAACAAAATTATTATTGTTATAACTAGAGCCTGGAATTATATGCATTTAAAAGTTGTCAAATATAATGGAAATATGCATACAAAAAGTAGCTAAATTATATGCATTATTATACTTATTAAAATATGTTTAAAAAAACTAAAATACCATTTTTATATCAAGAATATTAATAAAATTTAGTAATGATTTATTATGTATTATATTATTTGAAATGAAATATCTGAAAACCTAACAATAAACTTTAAAAATAATAAAATTAAAATCACATGCTTTTACTACACAAGATTTTAAAATATAACAACACATTAAACACGACAAGAATGACAAACAAATTCATAAAATGATAACAGCAAGACATATATGATTGTTGTGAGTCATAGCTTAGAGCTCTGATTTCATACACTGTGGTAATATAATGGTATTTTAACAAAATTCCCTTAAGAAATAATGTCAACAACTTTTTTTCTACAGTAAAATTGATTTATAAATAATAAATACATGTTATATGCAATAATCCTCCGAACGTGCAAAATATGCTAAGTCAAATTTGGTATTTGAATTTGGTGTGATATGAATTGTAAACATTTCAAACCCACATTGATGTGCATACACTATGTATAAATATGCAAATGCATATAATTCCAGGCTCTAGTTATAATTGAAAAATGTATCATTATAATTTAAAAAAAATAACTATAAAAATTATGTTAAAACAATTACAGATACAATTGCTGAATTAAATTAGTTATGTTTCAAGGTTTAATATATTTGGGAAACTTTCTTTTGTTAATTAAATAAATAATTTAAACTTATAATTTCATAAAATTTATTTATTTATTTATTTATTTATTTTTTTGAGGTAATTATAAAATAGTTGAAATAATGGTTAAACACAAATGTCTGAATTTAAAAATTAAATATATATTATGGTGCTAACAGATTTTATAGGAAAAATAATAATGATAAATCAATTTCAAGATAACATACCTATAAGCATTTCATAAGTAAATTTATATAATGTGAAATGTATTTATTATTATTATTATTAACTAAATAAAATTATAGATTATTATAAATTTAGAGGTTTGAAATCTATCATAATTGTTTTTAATTGCTTATTTAGTTGTATTTCATTAAAATAAATGTGTATGTTTTAATAGAACAATTGAATCTATCAAAAAAAAATTACATGACCAAATATCTGAAGTTAAACTTGAGCCATATGCAACTACTGAAAGGAACACAGTTAAAGATTCCTTGAATTTATTACGTGCGGATAATATTATCGCAAAAGAAGACTTGAGTGAAATCTATATTGAACTCAGTGATTTTAATGAAGCTTTAAAAAAAGTTGTTCCTTCATCCAAAAGAGAAGGATTTGTTACAGTCCCAAATGTTACTTGGGATGATATTGGTTCTTTAAAAAAAATAAGACAAGAATTACACATGGCTATGTTGGTCTGTATTGTATATTAGTTCCCCTTTCCCTCATCAAGTACTAATATAATTATGTATCTGTTAAAGGCGCCTGTAACCCATGCAAAAGAATTTACTGCACTGGGCTTAGATGTCCCGACCGGTGTATTGTTGTGTGGCCCACCAGGTTGTGGTAAAACATTATTAGCGAAAGCTGTAGCAAATGAAGCTGGTATTAATTTTATTTCTATAAAAGGTCCAGAGTTATTGAATATGGTAAATATATTATTTCTGAGTTGTGATAATTATTGATTGTAATTAATCTCAATTGTGTTATATTTTTGTTTAGTATGTTGGTGAGAGTGAACGAGGAGTTCGTCAGTGTTTCCAAAGAGCACGCAATTCACAGCCATGTGTGATTTTTTTTGATGAAATTGATGCTCTTTGTCCTAAAAGAAGTGACATGGATGTATGTATAAATTACATGGTTTTATCATTAATTATATGTAGTATATACAACAGCAATAAGAAATTCAATGTTTATTAAATTAAAATTATTCATTTTAATCATATTTTTTTATATTTTATTTGGTTGACCTATAAGAATGAATAATAATGAATGATTATTAATTTAATACTACTATTCATTCCACATTTCAGATAAAAGTAAATATAGTTTTTTAAAAAGCTCCCAAAAGTTTATTTATGTCAAACCTACTTTCATAGTTTTATAATAATAATACTTAATTTTGAACCTCCATTAAACTATAGCAGTAAAGCTTATATTTGAAAGTTGAAATGCTGAATTAATTAAAATACAATAGCGGATAAATTAATATTTTTATTTATTGATAAACAAATCATGATGATATAAAATAAAATTATGAATGCTGTATTAAACTATAAAACTTAAGAAACTGACTTTTTAATAACTATTAACAACTTAATATAATATTATAATTTTATTAAAAAAATGTTAGAAATATTTTGGAAATAACTGTTCACTTGGAACATTGGACACTAAAACAGAAAAGTATTTCTTAGCTACAATTTTTAAAATTTTAAATAAACTATTATCCCAATAGTGAATCGGTAATTCATTTTGTGCAATTTTAGAATGTTTTAGTTAAGTTTTTTTTCAGATATAATATATGCCATTCTTTGCATCACTCATTTTTTGACACTGTTTTTTATCGTGTACTATACAAAATATTATCATTGGTTTTTGTAGATATGATTGCAGTTAAATCTGTTGTAGATTCAATTACATATTTTTTTTTAAACCTTTTATTGATTTTTCTGTATGGTTAACAAAACATAAAGTTCTATTAAAATAAATTTGTTTAAATCACGGGTCTTAAATAGTTATCATCAATATTTTAGAAATATCAATATCTTGGAGTCTTCAATAAAATGCTATCTTCAAATTGTACAGAAGTAATTAAGTTTTCTCCTTAAAATAGATTTTAGTGTTTTCCATTTTATTTGTTAATAGGTAGTAAAATTAATAAAATAACCATACTTGCCTTTATGTAATTGGCTTTGCTAAAATTTCTAACTAATTTCTAATAAGTAACCTCTGGAAGAATTTTAATTTTTAGTGCACTTATCATTTTAGGAGATTTAATGTGTCTAAAGAGTTCTCTTTTTACAATTCCGCTTAAATTTATTAACTGTTTTACCATAGAAAATGTTGAGTTCCAATTAGTTGATCAATTTTTGATGAGTTTTATGAAACCATTTTCTTTGTCATTTTTTTTTTGTATAACTAAAATCATTGTCTAAGGTTTGAAGTTTGAATTTTGTCTCGTAAACATTACAATTTGTTTGACATTGTAAATTAATTTGTTTTATTTATCTGCTTATTCAATATTTTATTCCTCACAAATAGATCTTGATATACACCAGTATGCGATTCATTCAAAGATTGTATCGCAATAACAACTGAATGTATCTTGATTAGATGGAAAAATTAAAATAAATTTATTGTATTTATCAATTGTTTTATTTATAAATAATTCAATATGTTTAGGCCAATGGACGTTCTGGACAACGTGTCGTCAATCAATTATTAACTGAAATGGACGGTTTTGAAAGTGGCCGAAGTGGTGGTGTTTTTGTTATGGGAGCCACTAATCGACCAGATATGATTGATCCTGCTGTACTTAGACCAGGTCGTTTGGATAAAGTCTTATATGTTGGATTGCCAGATGCAGAAGGCCGTGTAGATATATTAAAAGCAGTAACTAAAGTATGAGTTATATAATTTGTTGTTTGATTCACTTTGATATAATTTTTTTTTTTTTTTCAAATATTTTGAATTATACCTTTAGGACCGTAAAAGACCAGTGTTAGCAGATGATGTAGACTTGGAAAAAATTGGTAGGAATGAAAAATGTTCAAACTTCACTGGAGCCGATTTAGCTGCTCTTGTACGTGAAGCCGGCATTCTATGTCTTCAAGAGTATATAAGTTTGACTGATCTGAACAAAAAATTAGCCATCCAAAGTAAACATTTCGATGAAGCTCTACTAAAAATAAGACCATCAGTTTCTGCAGAGGTATTACTAATTTTGAATAACACATTTAAACTACTGTAAATTCTTGTAAAGCCAAATGTAAAGTGGAACAGGAAAACATTTCTGATATTTTATAATATTTGACACTCCAGTTTTATTAAAAATTAGTTAGTTGAATGATTTGCTTACTTAAAATACATGCCATTATAGCATTTGTTATTTCACTTATCAATTATTAGGATACAGGTAAAAATAGCAGAGTGAGCTTTACATATATTTTATGCGCCAAAGACATTAAATATAAAATTTGATATTTCTAGTTTTTGCATATTTGAAGTATATTTAGTAAAGGCTATGTTTCAATTTTTGTTGCAATTTTTGCTAATATTCATAATATAATAAATCATTATTTTGTAGTTATCATAAATAGTAGAAAATTTTTTATTGTGTATTAATGTATTTAAAATTTAAAAAAAAAAATTTCTTTTTAGTCATTTTTCATGTTTTTATGACATACTATAGCTTATTTTACAATTTTTTAGGACATAGAGTGCATATTTTAAGATTTGTTAGGTCATCTTTTAGTGCATATTTCAGTTATTTGCAGTGCTATAAAATTTGAGCCCTGGTCATTATCAAGTATAAAAATATATTTACCTTGCATAAAAATAAAAAACAGTTCAACTAATATTATAATTATTTATGAACTACTTAATCACTATACAGAGTTATTTTTTTATCTTGAGCCATCAATTATCTTGGAGGATTTTAAGTGCATTTGATTTTTGTTTTTTTTTTAATCATTGTGGAATCGTTTAAGCATTATTTTAAAACCATTATTAATTTTGTACCCCTACTCCAAATAACTCTTAAATAAGTGCATACAACCATTCTCCTATTGAATCCATATTTGCATAGAGAATATTTTTCTAGACATTTTGATTTATATAACACTAATATCAGATTTAATGTTCATGAGTTATAACAGTTTAAAATTTAAACCATAGGAGTGGAGAAGAGTAATAATTGCCTATCAATACAAACAAATCACCCTGTATATTATAATTTAGATTAAAATTTATATTATTTTTGGAAGTTATCTAAAATATCTGTCAAAATTATTTGTTTTTTACTATTTTTCTAATGCCGATTTAACTTACTATTTAATTTTTGATTTTTTTTTTCTGAGACCTAATCATATTTTATTAGTATAGGTGTAATAACATGAATATGAATAACATGAAATCTTATATCATAAAAAAAAAATTTCTTGTTTACTAATACCGAATTTAGATGAATAGGTTATACTATTAAAATATAAAAATACGCCCACAGGGAAAATAAATTGTTTTGCTCCTCTCATATAATATGTACATATGAAAAAATCAATACTAAATTTCACTTACTAAAGTTAAATTATTTTTTTTCTAGGATCAGGTACATTATGAATTGCTAAGATTGGAATACGCGGCGCCAAGAAACTGATTTCACTCAAGCGATCAAAAAAATAAAATACTTTTTAATAAGTGTTTGATTCCTGTAATTTATTGTTATCATTTTTGTTGATCCATTGCACTTTAACCAAACTATTGTTGCATACATTTTATAAAGATTATATTAAAGTAAAATTTTCCTCTTCCTTTTTTCATTTTTAGATCCTTTTTTTTTGTTGACGGTTGGATGCTTTTGAGATACATTAACCTTATACAGAGAACGTTTTCAAAGTCATCTTTGGCGTTTCTGTAAATATTATTTTTGTTTGGTATATAAAGTCTTTCGCGAGCGGATTTATTTTTCTCATTTTAAGTTTAACCGCACCTCCTCCCTGCCGACGCCTGACATTGTATATTATAATAATACGTTTCGCGTCGCCCGAGTCGTGTGTATCGTCGTTCCGCCGTCCCGGGAAAGTATATTATCGGTGCAGATGTTTCGCCGAGCTCTCGCGACACCTGTGTGACGCCGAGGACGTTGTATATATTAATTAAAATTTATACGCGCTCGGCGTTTAAAATTTCGATGAAAACCGAATAATAATATTTTAAATATTATAATAATATCGCGGTACCGGCGGCGGTTCACTGTACGCTGATTTATATTATTATTTTCTTAACCGCCGCCACCTTTACTCCCGAACCGCGTCCTCCTCTTTTATCATATACGTATAATATTGAAATGCCCGCGAAATAATGCAAATGTCTTCGAGTTTCTCTCTCCGCCGCGCCAGATGTTACCGCCGTTATACAGGTATATACCTACCTACTACCATATTATACATCCGCTCGGACCGAATATAACGACGCGGGCGGATCGTTTTTCCCGGGGATTACACCGACTGGAATCGGAAGATTGTGTGCTTAAAGCTCGGGACGGAAAATGTTTTCACGTGAACCGTTTTTATCGCACAAAACATCGGTAGATACGAGAGTCCGCTTATTGTTACTATAATTTTGTTTCTCTGAAAATATATAAGCGTTTGGCATTAATATGATGGGCACAACTGAACGGGTTTTACTACGTACCTATCGACTACATTCGATAGTTTTTATTCGAACGATAACGCAATATTATTATGCCGTGCTCCATTTATGGGGGGGGGGGCATAAAATAACAAATTTAAGCTGACAGTACGATAAACCAATGTTTACTATCGAAACGTTCGTTAACTTATCGCGAACAACTCGTCGATAGGTAGTTTTTGTAATTTGTAATTAGTGGTAAAAAAAAGTTCTACGTAATGTAGTAAGTATACCGTTTAAAACGTAAAATATGTTCTTTACCGAAAGTGACGCATAGCGTATCCGGAGCTCATTCAAGCGGAGGAGGCGGTTTAAAAATTGTAATTCCCCTGCAAACCGAACTATGAGTACTGCTTTGACATCCACATCGATATCCCTATGTAGTATTATACGACAAAAATCGCGGCATCTATATCTCATTATCGCTAATTTTTGATAACGCTTGTAAAAATACCCGAGAAACAATAAATATCACGGTTTTAAATACTAGATTATTTTATTAATTATTATTTCAAAAATCCACAGCGCTTAGGCACTGCTTACATTTCTGAAAAATTAGTTGAGATACTCCGTCCGTTCCCCTCCCCAATTCGAACACTGTTCGCTCCGCATTTATGTATAGATATGATATCTATGAATAGAGAAAGAGAGTCTCTATACCTGCAGACACGAAGTTATTCGTGATAACAGGTGCTAAACAGAGGGTTTTTTCCATACCGTGTATAATTATAGATATTATATTTTGTCAAACAAATACTAAGGGTACCTACGTTGAACAACATTTTTAATTTTTGGAGGAAAACTTTTTCTGTATTTTAACGTCAAGAGGACGCCACGCCGACATCTACTGTCTCCGTGACGGCATTTGTGAGACGTAGCAAATTTACGTTCAATAGGACACATTTTGTGCCATTGGTTTTAATATTAGAGAAAATTAATCTATTACCAAAATTAAAGGTAAGGAGATTATATGTGCTCGAGCGTGGATGATTTTTCGAGTTTTTATTTTTAAATGAGACAAGAGTATGTCATATATATCACAATTTAAAAATGATTATAACTTGTTTAAAAATATCGAAAAATCGTCAACGCCAGATCACGTGTAATCTTCCCACCTTTGATTATGTCAATAGGCCGATTTGCTTTAATATCGAAACTAACGGCACTGCAAAATGTGTCCTACTGAACGTTAAACTCGCTACGTCTCGCGCGTGCCGTCACGGAGACAGTATGGGTATAGATGTCGGTGTGGCGTCCTCTTAACAAAACAACGTTAATATGTTTACACAACCGTTAGCACAAAATACACCTGTTCAGACCTTCGAGGGCTGAACCCCGGGTTCGATATTGTTGTCAGTGGTGGCTGCGGCCCCGGTGCCCCCCCCCCCGCGTATCTGTACTCGGAGCCTGTACGGCGACGACCGAAAACGCGTGCGATTTTCGGCGAGGACGAGAAACGCCGAAAATACCGATCGATACCGCAGCGGCCCGGGCCACCGGCGGTAAGTTAACAAAACATAAAATATCGTATATAGGATATTGTTGTTATTTCTCGTCCGTGACGTGTGTACATGTATACCGTATACACATAATAGTATATAGGAAATAGAAATAGACACATCCGTACGGCATAAATCATATGTATATAGATATATGGATAACCGACGGCGGCGGGCAAACAAGTCGAATCGCACGTACTATATAGCCGCCTAGCCGGATGCGTCGTAATGAAAATTTTAAAAGCGCCCGGGGACAGTGTGCATTGTGTGCGTGTGCGGTAGGGTTTTTAAAAACGTTTTTGCGCGCGCGCGCGTGTGTGTGTGTGTGTATTGTCGTATACATATATACATGTATATACGCGGGAAAACAAATGGACCGAAAACACCGGAAACAGGAGAAAAAAAAAGGGTCAAGACACACACACACGCACACACACACACTTTCGCGGATGATTCGATTCCGTGCCCTTTCGCGCGCTATATAAACCGAGAATATAATAATATTATATTATGTGATCGCTATGTGCGCTATATAACCTATATCCTCTTAAGCCCGGTGTATACGTATATATTATATAAATGTACATACGCGCGGGGCGAGGTCATAAGTTTCGCGGGATCGTTCTTGTCCATAAATCTCGCGGAAAACGACCGAAAAACCACTCGGCGGCGGCCAAAAAACAAACAAGAAAAAATGAAAAAAAAAAAAAAACCCGGGGCCGGATATTCACGCGGTAAAACAGTCGAAATCAGCGATCGGCCTCAAAAAAAAAAAAAAAAAATTAAATTCATCCGTTTTTCTTAACATTCAGGACCTTTTTTTGGAATATTTCGTATTACACACTTTTTAGTTTAGACCACAGTTCACATAATAAAAATTTGTCCCTACACACTTACATACAATTATTTCACTAATTTGCCTAAGTACCATTTATAGTTGTTAATAATTCTTCTAAACAAATATTTCCAGGTTTAAACTTTATCAAGGATAAATGTATGGGTAATGTAAGGAGTAAACTTAAGAAAAAATATTAAATCATATCAACTAGTTTGTACTTTATTTATACATTATTCTTTCAACAAATTTGTTTAAATAACGTTCCTCTGGCCTTTGATTTTAATTCCTTATTCTAAATCAGTAAACTAATTATTACAAGCATTAAGATAACAAGTTTTAAAACATCATAATAATAAATAACAAATTTTAAAATACTCTGTATTTGATCAAATCTTTTAATAATTTCTTATTACACACAATGTTGCGTATTACATACAAAAATAGGCTCTGATACTCGTAATGTCGCACGTTTACAGGGGCGGTTTCATTGGAAGTTTGAACAATACGCTCATACCTATACTATTCAGCGAGTTTACGTTAATATTTTCTGTTCACGCGAATATTTTGCTTTGCGTAACGAATTTGGTATTTGCGGTTTCAAAATTTCCGTCTCGCCGTAATATATGTATCGCGGACCGTGAACGATATTATAATCAATTATTACGGGTTTTGCGGAAATGGCGGCCTCGGTTCGTGTGAAATCCAAATAGTTGCGTAGGTACTTGCACACTCTAAGCTCACGGCCGGGGCATGTACATGATATTTAGCGAGATAAACTTCCATCCTCCGACGAGGGATTCGCGTACATGGGGCGATTATTTTAGAATAAATGAGTAAATATGATTTTGTATTTTATCTTTTTCGGACATTGTAGATACGTATATATATAGGATCGTTTATTTTACACCTTGGTTTTTACTTGGCGACAACTATACAGATTTATAACTTATATAGAGTAGATATTATATAGGTACTATCGGTACTCGGCAGCTATAGTACACGGCTATCTGCTAGAGTGCTAGTAAAACGTAATAGTTGTTTACATGACGTATAGATGGTAGTGTACGGGACAGTAGATAAACTGATAGCTGCTGGCAGGACTCAAGATTTAATGTATTTAAAATCGATAGTAAGCAGCATGAAAAAACGTCAAAAGAGCTCTGAAAAAAATAATATAAAAAGCAAAAATAACAGAAGGTCCAGAGGGGTTTGATATTTCCACCCCACTTCCATTTCATAATACATTAACACATGTAATTTTATTTTTTTTATAATATTTACAATTTTATTTAAAAACTTCTGTTGATCATTTGTGTAGTGTTCGAAAATAGTATTTTATAAGTTAGAGCCTATAAGTCAGAGGAGGGGGGGGGGGCTTTTAAAAACATACTACCATTTTTGTCTTTTTTTTAATGCATTTTCAAGCCTTTTTCAACGTTTTTGTAGATTTTAAGTGCATAAAGTCCCGAGCCTTGCTGATAGGTAATCGTTTACACGATGCTTGTAATATAGAACATACATCAATAATATCAACTATAGTAAAAATAACCGTTACTTTGTTGTTCAAAAAGTTCAAAATGTTTGAACTCCATCTGTATATTTAAGACACACAGATATAGGCCTCTCCTATTTCAAACACATTCAAACACAAGAGAAACGGACGGCTGCAAGTGACGGGAGCTTGGCCAGTCATATTATAAGCCACGCAGTTCCTACTTTGACGCCGCAACAGTTCTCAAAATTATTTTTGTTTCTAAACATGATTGTGAATTTGTGGTTAGTACATCAGCTACAGCGTATGAATAGATGTGCTATATGTATATAGATAGTCCGATGCATCTACATCGGACGATTTATCACGTAAAACGATCTATAATACTATTATACTATCATC